GGTGAACATAAGCAAAGAATTATTATCAACGTGGCTATTGATGGATTAAGATTGCGTGATGAAAAAACTGGGGTAATTATAGAATGTACAAAACCCAACTTATTTAATTATATTTTTTGTTGAAATATTGCTTTAGGATTCATTATATCATCACCCTGTCCATAAAATTTCATTCATTGCCCAAGACATGACAGATTCCAGAGCCTTTGGTTACATATTTGGTTCACCAGATACAGGTCATCGATTTTTTGGCATTAAAACAGATAAAGCAGCAAGTCAGGTATAAGTAGCATTGGATATGTTAATGATAATAACTAGCATGGCGTTTTTAGGTCGTTATAGCAATGAGAGATCTGTTTCAAGTTGTATTTGCATTAAAGAAAAAAGAAATTGAACTAGCCAAACAAAATCTTGAAAAAAATTATGGTTTTAACAGAGATAATTCCAATGTAATACCTGAAAGTGTAGCTTCAGATAGTAGGGTAAGGATAATGCAATTTTATTAAATATTAATCAGTAAATATTTTGTTTAACAAGTTTTAAATAACATTTTTTAGGATATCAGTTGCAGTAGTACCGTTAAAAATTCGTCAGCATTAAAATCTCATAGCACAGAAAACAAGTCAAGTACCCCAGTTGTCGCAAATTTAGTAGACTTGGAAATCGAACTAACAAACTTGCAACAAGGTATTTCACAAATTGAACGACTTACACCCTCCAACGATCCATTTGAAGATAGTTTTATAAGCTACACTGTAAGTTAAACTAAAGCATTGCCAATTTATTTGCTTAGATCAGTAGTATACATACATTGTATTATAAAACAACAATATACATTAAAAGTTGATAATAATTAGCAATACAGAAAGTCTTATACAAACGTGAGAATACTCTGTACCCGCAGAGAATTTATTTATTTACTACATAATACAATATAAGTATACTGTATCCTGCTACACATTCAAGGAATATCAAGATACCTGTGTGCAGGTCTGATGATAGAAAAAAGAATATATATATTCATATGTTAATACACACTATATAATTTTTTTTTTAATTTTCATGTTACGCAGTAAATAATAATTATCTTCTGGGCTTGTGGACCGCTGTCTAAAGACTAATTGATCGACAAGCCCAGAATAAAATTATCATTTAGTTCGTAACACCGGCCGTGAGAACTTACAAAATTTCTTTCTTGTATTTATTTTCATGTATTTATGTATTAGCCGAAACCTTTTTTGCCTCCCCCTCCTGGAAGGGAACGATCATACAGAGCAGCAGATGCAACTGGAAATTCTAGTTCAAAAGCTCAAACAATGACGATCAATAAAGGATCTCCTTCTCAAATGTTATCCCTTCTCCAATCATCCGACGAATTAACACTGATTAAGTCTCATAACGAATCACACGTTGAGACAGTTGCTGAGGATTGGTTTATTTCTTCTGTTACTGGCACAGCAACAACAAAGGATTCTTTGACACAATCTCCTTTACAAAAAGATTTATCAACCACATTACAAAGTGAAAGGCAAGAAAAACAAGATGTATTGAAGCAGTTTGACGTATTCACCGAATTGGATCCTTTGGGTAAGAGTTTAATCGGTTAGTTTTTTTTTTTATTTTCTGCAATGATAATATCAAAACTTTATGTTTGCCTTCGTTTTTATTTCCGTTTTCTAGGAACTGGCAAGATAAAACCCTACATACATAAACGAGACTTCTTTCAAGACCTAAAAAAACCAAAAAAGGTCTTAAACGATCTTGTGAACGACAAACAAACGTATAGTAATAATATCAGTAGTTGTTCTACGAATGTAAATGAAAGCTTTAAGTCGGAATGTATGGGATTTGCCACAGATCCGTTTGGCGAAGATCCGTTCGTTAAAAGCAATTCTTTCGCTGAAAAGGACCCGTTCAGCAAAAATAATTTTAATGTAGACTTTGCTGTTTTCAAAAAAGAACAAGGGGCTAGTGATTTAGTAGACGATATGGTGACTTTGGCATTTTCCAATTTAAATGAAGGTAATTTTATATTTTATTTCAGGCCAAGAGGAGATCGTAAATTTTTGCTGTTTTTGAATAATTAGAAGTTCTAGTAATGTAATCATGTTTGTTAGATTGCACTTTATTTTAGATTCGTTTGTGGATACTCATCATTTGGAAGGTAATATAGAAAAGGATATAAAACTATCATCCGAGTTTGATTCAGAAGATTACAAGAAAATGTCTCCAGATAGTGACAACGCACCCAAACCACCCCCTCGACCTACTAATAACATATTAACACAACCGCCGCCCTTACCACCTAAGAAACAACCGGGCGATTTGTGTATAAAGCCTCCGCCGCGTCCGCCTCATTCGGATGATTCCCATTACGACGTAATATCAAAGGAAGCGCGAAATGATACTGCTTTTAGTGAAAAGGGACCACCGTTGCCTTCCCCTGCCAGAAAAGCGAAATCGACTCAATTTTCATTTGAACAACAAAAAAAGACGCAACAAGTAGAGTCTAGTGAAGATGATTATTTAACTCCAATCTCATTTCCTTCAGCGAAGGACTTTTCGTATGCTGAAAAAAAATGTTTCTTGCATAAAAGTGCAGATGACGTTTCGACCAATATTCCATTTTTTGTTAGAGAAAGTTCGTCCATTGTTCGTAATAGCACTAACATGTCCTTGGCCGACATCAATTTTATGTTAAGTCAATTAACTTTAAGCGGCTTAAATGAATTGGCTACCGAACTGAACATTCCGTCAGTAAAATTGAGCAACATGACTTTGGCGCAAATAACAAACTATCTTAGTGGTGTAATCAAAAATCTCTCTCAAGATGACGATTCGAAACAGCAAGACAATTCAGACACATCCAAAGTCAATTTTGCAGACTTTAGTAATTTTAATACTAACGAGACCCATGACAAATATGCCGTTTTTCGTGAATTAGAAGCGACAGAATTTAAAGTTAACGTCGATAATAATATGTCGTCTGCTGAGAAAAACGGCACCGTGGCCTTTTTCTCACAAGATAGTATAGATGACAAATATGCTGCACTTCGCGAAATTACTGATGAAAATAATAAGAAATCGGAATACGAAGACCTCAAAAACGAACCCGATTTTATTTTTGAGGAATCGTTTGATCATTTGAGTCAAAAATCGGATCAGACGAGAAACGAAAGTGGCGGAAGATTTGTTGAAAAACAGTTGGACATGTCAGTGGAAAAACAACACATGATATCTCAGTCGTCTTCCGATGATAAGAGAGAATCCCCAAAACAATTTGAACGTATCGACGATGTGTTTGAAGAAGAGAAACTTCAAACTTTCGATTCGATTTCAGAAGGCGCCAGTGGCACTTCGCCTGAAAACGACGCTGCAACCGAAGCCATAAAACGAGTCAAAAGATCGGGTAATACAAGAAATTAATTATAATAATTTTAAAAGCCATAGAAAACAGTTTATAACCCATTTTTTACGTTGTAGATAAAGATTGGACCGTCTTCGATCAGACCAAACCACAAGTAGTTGAGAAATTATCATTACAAAGCGAAGAGGGGGTATCACCTTGGTCAAGCGATTCAAAAGAATTCGGGAACGCGTCTCCACCAGAGTGGAAAGAAGCTGTCAATTCGGGTGGTGGACGTTGGATCAAACAGGCTTCATTGAAAGATCAGGAAAAATGGTGGGACAATTCGGCTGAACCTGAGGGTAATATAAATTTATCAGTTAAAATTAAATTTATTCGTAATCACGTTGGTTTTTTTTTTGTTTCCAACAGAATATTATCAGCCAAACCGACGCTCGATCGACAGTTTTGAAGATGAATATTGCACGTACTCTAAGACGTTACCCGGCACTAAGAAAAAACAAATTACGGGTTCCTCCCCCGGATCGCAAGCTGCTGGTGGACATTCGTCTAGTTCGAGAGATATCAGTCCTTGGGAAGAGGAAGCGTATAAGTTAACACCTGCACAAAGAAGAAATGTTCGAACAAGCGAAAATTGGGAAAGACACTCGAAGCAGTATTTAGAAAAATGCCGTGACAGCTGGGACGAGGAGGACGATTACGAGTGAGATATTAAGCGTTTTTCTTTCTCATTAAATTTGAATTTAGTTTCATTATAAAATTGGATACAAAACAAAATAAACATAGAACAGTAGAGATAACAACAGTAATTACTTAATATATAAAGATAAAATACTACATAAATTAAAGTAGAAATTGGAGACTGTGGTAACTGACTAACTAAAAAACGAGAAACTCACCTCAAATTACCACTGTAACTATAATCACTGCGGACTAGTGTTTCGCCCACTTCTTCACGTGGGCATTATCAAAGTCTCGCGTTGATACATAAATTAAAATGAATTAGTTAAAACGAAACATTTCTTTCGTAGATACGACGCAGAACAATACGGTAGATATTACTGGCCGGATAGGCATGCAAGTAGACAGATTGAGAAAGTGGGATATAGCAGAAGAATGAAAGAACATTGGACAAATGAAAGGCATTTGTGGAAGCAGGAATTAGAGCGGAAGAGACACTGCTGTGAAGATTGGGAATTAGAGAACACAGGTAACAATATTTTATTTTAACTTTATTTTTTACATTAGAGAATTTTGATTGATATTCGGGCATGATGACTTTCTCTTGTACTGAGACTGAATCAGCTCTTGGCGAAACATCGGATAAACCACTACATCGGTGTTCTCGTTTTATTTATTTATTTATTTATTTCAAATTAAATGGGACAAAATCCATAATACAAAACACAAGTTCATAATATAATGAGCATAATAAGAGTGGCAAAAAAGAAACTTCATGCCAGCTAAGAAGCAGAAAACTTTAGTGTAGATCATTTGTAAAGCAACAAAACATGAGACCTGTTCATAATACAATGAAGGCTTGCATTAAAAATATTAAATCAATAAAAGTTAGGATAAATAAACGCATAAATATTCTGAATGTGGCAATGAAATTGAGATTTTTAATAGTTTTGGAAACAAAAAAATCTAGATGTTTGTTAAAATATAACTTAAAGTTTACAATAAGTACAATTAAAGGACGTCCTTGCCAAATGTAATACAAAAACATTTCTTGACATTGCAAGATAAACCATTTTGTTTAAACCAATTTAGTGCAGAGCTTAAATCAGTTTTTCAGTAATGTCCTGTCATTGTGACAAGAAATGGATTTAAGTAATTTAGCATCATCAACAAATAATAAAAGTTCTGAAAACTTGATAACCGATCCTAAGTATTACATAAAAATAAGAAAAACATTAAATTTTACAATTCCAGTGAAAAGCAACAGATACTATTGTGGAAACAAACGATCAAACGAGGGTGTATGTTCTCATAAATGGACAAGTAACTATGAGGATCCACATTTTATTAGAGACTCACAAGACTCTTCGTGGGAAGAAGATTATCACCAAAATAGTTCCGAAATGCAATCGTCTCATTATATAAATCTGAAGCATCGCTGGAAACGACCGAGCAGCGCATCTGAAGTCGAAAAGAATACGGACGAAATAAGAAAACAAGTCCAATATTACGTAGGAACGGCAGGTGAAAATAATATCGTATAAGATTACTTATTTGTAGTATGTTATTGAGTTGAATAATAATTTTCTAGGAGCAAGCGATGGTGAAAAAGAAAGAAGATACAAAACCAACAGGCGGTCGAGGAGCAGGGACGCATACTGTTGCGAAATGAACGTTCATTACAAGCAAGATCCAAACTTTACACTCAGAAACTATTATAAATCCAGAATGTACTCTCAGCATAATGCGGCTTATAATGGGAATAATCAAGAAATTGTGTACACCAAATCGGACGATTTTTCAAATAAAACGAGCGGGTCTAGGAAAAAAAATCAAGATGATGTTCCTTCCGCCGGTAGCGTTTCTTGGAAGTTTGAAAATAATTTCATTGATAATAACGAATGCCCTCCGCTACCTCCCCACGGAGTTAAATACGATTTCGATTACGAACAAAAAATGACGGAGGTAAATAAGCCACCGCCTTTAAGAAGACCGACAAAAATAAATAAACTAAAAAACCAAAGTGTACGTGGCATCCCAAGCAGCAATTCGAAGGATAGGAGATTCACCTATCAATCTACAGATAAAAATGCCGTTTCCAGGCGAACCCAACGATCTCCGTTCGAAGACGACTTTTCTCCACCTCCACTACCTCCTCCTCCTGCTCCTGCTCCATCCGCTACTTCTATTCCATCAAGTAATCAGTTTGAACCAAGCGAAATTGATTTGAAGAACGAAGAAGAAGATTACTTTAGTCCTGAAATGTCGAATAAGAAAAGTGCCATGACAAAAAAAATAAGTAACAATAGCAGATTAGGTAATTTTAGCTCCGACGAGGGATTGAAAAAGTCCGAGTCTGTTAACATATTTGTAAGAGAAAATGATCCTTTTGACGATGATTTCTTCAGCGAAAATGCGCTCGACGATTTGTCAGATTGCGCGAAATCTCCGAAGAACAGTAGATGAACGTGATTTTATTTAAATACTGCAGATAATACTTTTATTTAGTACAAAACATTTGAATTAAATTATCTTAGGTAATGATATGTAAATTTCGTTTTTATCAGTTTTTTATAAACTGCTACTTATTGCAGCATTAATTAATTAATACATACTTGTTTTATGTGTATCCACATATTGAGTAAATAAATGTAATTAAGTCAAGTAATACGTAGTTGTTAATTAAGTTTAAAAATAATGTAAACTTTTTTAAAATTAACGTTGAGGGTTATTGAGCCACTTTTTATTATCTATGAGAAAAAAAACAGACATTCAAATTGAACGAAACATAACCAAACATTCTCCATTCTATAATTTCAATATCTATGACGTATATAACGGATTTCTTGGTTTCAAAGGAGTTCTGTAACTTGGTAAAGTATAAAACAGATAAAAAATTGCAAAGATACTCGTATATACATAAACACACTGCTGAATTATACTGTAGCAACATGAATTTGAACACAGTTACAAATACTTCTGCGTCTCCCCTCAGGAAATTTCAATTAAGTGATATACAGAATACAATAGACTTACTACAGCACGTAAGAATTATTTTATAGTTTATTATGTATTTACTTTATATTTTGAATAATTTATAGGACGATAATGCTGAAAGATTACAAAGACGAAGTTTAGTTGGAAGCAAAGTGGACATTCCTGAAATGAGCGGTCTCATTAAAGTAGGAGAGCAACAACTAATACAAGACCACTTCCAGTTATGTGTGAAAATGTTTGTAGAAAATGTATAAGCATACAAAGGAATTACTTAGACGCAATACTTTCAAATGCCGTTTTTTTTTAGAAAATTAATACAAAGAATGTGTGGAATTTAAAGGCTATTGATTATATGGAAACAGTACTACAATTGCAATCAAGCAATAAGAATTTCCTTCACATTGGAGGTACATCATTGGATATATGTTCTAAAGTTTATGGTTTAAGAGTAGATGATCTATATGCAAGTGGACTTCAACTTGTAGACAGCATAACACGATCTGATGTAAAATCAATAGAAATTGGTAATTATTGTTTGTGTATAAACTTTAATTACCTTGTATGTTATCGTTTTGAAAAAATCGTTAATTTTAAGGTCATTCAGATGAAGAAAATGAAAATCATAAAAAGAAAAGCAAAAAGAAATCAAAAAAAGGAAGACCAGAATTGAAAAGCACTGTTGTAAAAGACTTAAAGTCAATAACAGGAAATCTCCCAAAATTAGAGTTAAACCACTTCCAAACCAGATTAGGTGTTGATACTGGCAATACTGGTTTATTATTCACTAATACTTTACAAATGCATCCTTTTAATTACAGTTTCCTAATAGTGTAAGATTTTTTTTCTAATTTGTTATTCAATTATTCACCTAATTAATGTTTATATATAGAAGTAGTCAAGTACCTTGGGTATCTTATTCTAATTTATTTACCAAACCAGTAAATGACTCAACTAGATCGTACATTTGGCCTTTAAGATGTACTGAAAATGCGTTGGTAATTTGCAAAGCATTTACCAATTTTGAAATAAATCAATTAAATCCCGATGAAAGTGGCAGTTGCATGTAAGTTTCAATAATTTACAGTACATGTAATGATGTTTTAATTAACCAATCTAGCATTAATTTAGCTAAATGTAAATTATTTTAGAATGCATCAGAGTTTTGACAGTATAATAATCAACGAAAAGGGTCTCCCAGTTGCCGAATTGGATGGATCTGTTCACGATTCTTTTAACATTAAAAGTATTTATTGTTTCATTTTAAATCCTTTCTTATTCTAACTTATGTCAACGGTGACTGTTTCAGATGGTATTCAAGGCCTAGATGATGTAGATAATCCTGAAGTGCAATACAAAATTTATAATGAGCCCGAACATCTTCTGACTTTTAAACCTGAAGATCATGCAACCGTTTGTAATGAGTATTCTTACGCCTGTTGTGGCTCTTACATAAATAATAGCAGAAACACAATAACTCAAATGTGGGCAGGCCCTAGCCACTGGAAATTAAAATATATACGCCCAGCAGGTGAACTATGCATTGACATTTTATATTGTTTGTATTAATGATGCGTATTTTTATTTTGAAGTAAGGAAGTTTTCTGGAATAGAGCAAAGACAAAAAAATGGGAGAAGAGAAAAAGAGACGCTTTCTGTTATAAATTTTTATAGTTGTCCTAAATTAACAACTGTTAAGTACAAATCAAAGAAAACTTCGTGTCTACATAACGCTGGCAGGTAAATTTAGTTGGTAAATAATTAATTAGTAATTTAATTTTAATAACACCGAATTGAGCCTTATAGAAAATTTTCTTTTAAGGCTAACCATACCAGAGAATCACGTTCAGAAGATGTTTACCGATTTTGGAATAAAATTGGCAAGCAAGCCGCTTGTAATTTATCCTAGAAATTCGAGGAAAATGTTAACTAATTTAGAACCCGATTTACCCTTCAATTATAAAAATCCGAACGATTCGGAATATTGTTGCGAAAATAATCTCGAGCGAAGATCTTTCGAGGTTCAAGTTGAGTTTTTATTACGTATTAATTTGTTTTAGTAATTTAAAGCATTGTTTTCAATTTGTAGGAAGGAAAAAATCCTAGTGATGAATACCAAAATGAAGACTGTGACAATGTTAAGCAAGCGGAGAAAAATGACAACTTTATCGGCGAAAATTTAGTTTCCTGTCCGCAAATTGTAAGTTTCTACTAAAAAAAAAGGTATACTTTTTCTTAGTAAATATTCGTATAAAATAATTTTTTTGCTTTGCTAATTTTACTTTCTAGGTCCAAAAGTCGTTCATACCCTATGCTCTAACGTCTAAAAAGCTCGATATTCGACAACTTAAAAATGCCGTATGGAAATTCATTGAATCGGAAGATGTTAAGGTGAAAAATGTGAAAATAACCAAATGCGTTTAATTTTTTTAAAGGAACAATCATTCTGTTTTTTTAGAAAAATGTTCAAGTTGCACAGAGACAACCAATTCTATTTTCCAAAATTTATAAAAAAGTTCCTAATTTAATATCAAAGAAATTAAAGGAGGAAGTGAGTTTACCTGTTACTTTTGTAGCCTTTCTGCACTTGGTTAATGAGCACAATTTGATAATTGAAAAACATATAAATGACATAACTGATTTTAAAATTAAAGTAAAATGATTTTGTATGCCATATAAAAATGTTTCCACATACAAAATATATTATAAATACAAGTGGATTTTTTGTTCTCACACCATGTCATTTTTATTTATTTAAATTGATTGAGTGATTGAATAATTGATTTACTTACCTGATTACGAATTTTCAAGAATCAATGATCTCAACCACTTGACTTTTTGGAGTGGGAATGTAGAAGTTCGAGGCGGCATGTGTTTTAAAGAACTCACTCCCGTATTCTTCATACTCCTCCCTGGTTGTTAGAAAATCCTTATATTCTGTCTGTTGAACAAAGTTTTTCATTGCTAACCAGCTTGCTACGTCGGGATTGCCGATACAATGAACTTGCAAGTTAGATTTGAAGGGACGGACACTGATAAGATCGATTTTAATTCTTTCCATTAAACCTGGGAGATTTGCTAAGCTTCCCACAAGAACGACATTTTCAGCAAGTAAAGACTGAGTCTCGTTGTCAAATAATGATAAAACATAAGCAATAACTTCTGAGAGTCCTGCTTCAGAAGAACCGATCATGTACGGTTTAAATAACAACTCTGGAGCTCGATAACGTTCGATTCCAACGTGAAGTTGATAAGATTCTCCTGGAATGCCTTGATCAACATCTGTCGGTTGATATTCTCGAAGAATTTCGTCTAATTCCATCAACTTTTCGTTTTCAGCGTCGCTGTCCGAATCACCTCCTAAAATTCATCATAATAATAGGCGTAAATTTTTATAGTTGCCTAAAGCAATAATATAATCATTACTTACAAAAAAAAAAAAAGCAAGTTACCTTCTCGACTAATTGCTTTATAAATATCCCAGTCTTCATCCCGATAACCGAAATCGTCATTCCCTTTTTCTTTTCGGGCTAATTGAGAAATTATACGCATTCTCTCTTGTCCAGCTGCGGTCCTTCTTTTTGCCATATCCTGCCTCCTCTGCTTTCTTGCACTTTTCTTATTCAGTATTTCTTGCTTCTAAAACGTTTCAAGTGAATTTTGTTTTTATCGCAAATATATTTACTCAACGTACAGTTTTTTTGATTTTTTGTACGAATAACAGTTTCGCAGTTTCATTTTCGAATGACATTTTATGAAATTTTGGCTGTTTAAGGGGCGGTTCTTCGAGTACATCATCAGATGTGTTAACTGCAAAAATCTTTTCTTTTGCTTTTTCAATTCTACTATTTAACGTGACTATATTTTTATGAAGGTCGTCCAGATTTTTTATGCCATATTCTAGCATGGACATTTCTATTTCACTAGAATCTTTGTTTGCTTTTATCATCTGTTGAATAAACAAAAGTTGCTGTAACTTCTCCTCATCTTCTGCCAAGCGTTCTTCTCGTTTTCTTGCATTAATTTCTGCTAACCTTCTGGCTAATTCCCTTTTCCTTTCTTTCTGTTGTTCTAGGACAGTGAACAGTAAATATTCGTTAAAATAAATAATTAAAAAGCTCACCTGTAAGACCTGAGGAAATAGATGATGAAAACGGCAACTGGATCCTCTTAATGTTTTTTTTATAATATTCATTATCACTCCATTTTTTAAGTTCTTCCTTATAATCCAAAGCCACAAGGCAGAGACTATGGAGTAACTCTTCTGCTCTACTCAATGTAATAGCATTATTGTGAGCAGGATATTTTAACTGAAGTATTCTGTGCAGAAATGAAATAATGTGTGACCCTCCAATATTGATTCGACGCACATTTTCAAATATTGTTTTTCCATTAACTACAGGGATAACATGAACTGTATGGTATCCAAGACCCACTATCAAACCATGGTTAGTTGGCCTGGTATTCAAATGAAAAAAAGAAAACAGAGAATCTACACCATACATTATCCCTGGCACACCATAACATTCAAAAAGAAGTTCAGTCATTACTAAAAAATATACACTTTTATTGTTTTTCATACTAATAGACATATTGTCTTGTTTTTACTTTGTCTTGAAGAATTTGGATTTAAGAATGCCTCTGTCATGATAACTGGATGGGCTACATTTCCATCAGTGTTTATTCCCAAGTGAAAAAAAGAATAATCTAATAAAAGCTCCTGAGCTTCAAAATGTGTAACTACATTGCGATCAAATTGGGTTTTCAATTGAAATCTAACAGCTTCAATGTTGGAAATATCATTTGCAACTTGTAATTGAGGTACAATGCTTTCTTGTGATCCATCCTTTTTAGATCGTTCTCTGCGTAACTTAGCGACTAAATTTCTAAATGATAACAAAGGTGCATCACTAATAGCCCATCCGACTCTTGCCTGATACGATCCTACAAAGCCTTATTAAATAGTTTTCATTCGTAACTAAATATTAGATCTTACCATTATCAATAATTATTGGAGTTTCTGATATACTAAGTTGAGACTTATAGCAATGGACAATATCTGGAACAGATTTCCAGTCCTTAAATTCCAAAAGCTCCATAAGACTGCTCACTTTAAATTAAATCACATAAAGATAACTATTAAAAGCTGAACCTTCAATTTTTGTTAATTATTCATGGGTTTAACCTCACAAAAATCTAATCAATCAAAATTCAATAGTTTCTAATAGTCTCTAATCTATGATAGTAGATTATCTATGGATAGTAGTCTAACTGCATAGATATCTGTCTACCATACTGTCCATAGATTAATGCCGTCTAACTCCATAGATAAGGCCTATCTCACAATAATAATACTAATAAGCGAACCATTGATCCTTATTGCGGGCATGCGCACAAAAGCTAGCCATAAGTGATATTGTCCCACATGTGTAAAAAAAATAAAAATAAATGCCACTGGTACTAACAAAAATCATGACCGGCTTTTAAATATATATACATAAGCGCATGAGCATTGGAATGAGGGTTAATCATCTTTTTGAGATTAACAGTCACTTCTTGGAGGCTTGATGCTAATTATTATTCAATATACCTTTAATATATAGCATGTCACACATGATTAGTAACGAGAATAATTTTTATACTAATAAACGAACTTGATGAAACAATTAAAAGTGTTTCGTTTTAATATTTTTCTTTTTTTATTCCAGATACTGCCTTTAGTAAGTAATTGACATGATTTTGGATTGGTGACGAAAGTTTTTGAATTATCTTAATTTAAGAAAAGCTTTGGTGCCCCGTCCGCAAAATATTTAGTAATTGTAGTAGCATTTTAAGATTTGAGATATTAAAGAAATTGTACGTATGTACCATTAAAAATATATTATAATGAAATGCATAACGCAAGTTTCGGAAACTTTTTACTTTTTTGAGATGGCCTTCGCTAAATCAGAAGTGTGCGGAACTAATCTCTAAAAAAATGAAAAAAAAAAAAAGAATAAGGTACAATATTAAAAAGCAAAACATTATTTATTACTTGTAACTAATTTTTAAATAATTTTGTTAAATGACAATGACCTCCCACATTTCTTGGTTCTCGGGGTAGTTCACTAGACATTTATATTGTAGTTTTACTATCGCTATACTGTCGTTTATTGTATGTTTTCAAAAACAATTTGATGTTCTCATTTTCATGAAGAGTCATTTTAACATTGGATTATAAGTGTATAAATTAACAGTTAAATATGTATCCATATGTGTGTATACAAATTAAATAAAACCAACCAACAAACAAAATACAGGCATAACATTTTAATTATATCATAATTAGGATAATAAGAAAGTACAACTTTCAAATACCAATTACTCTTTAAGTTCGTCAGAAACGTTTTCATAATGCTCCACCGTTTCGTCTGTTGCTTTAGGAGTATCTTCCAGAGATGACGAAATTAATGATTTCTGATTAACATTTACACTTCTTCCCCTTCCTCTCGAATCTTGAGGTGGTGGAATTATAGGGATAGCTGCTTTCGGGCGTCTGGTTGTAGCCGATCTTTGTGGAACATGTTGGTTCTGTGTTGAATAATAGGTAGTTCCGCCCTGATACTGACATAGTTCAGGTTGTTGTGTCTGAAAGAAAAGTCAAATAAAACCTATGTAACGTTCAAAACTAAACTAAACTAATCCTTCCCTTACCACTGCATTAAACTGCTGCGCTTGAAATCCTTCAAAGGGTCCAGTTTGAGGATGAGAGAACTGAGGCTGTCCTGGAACGTAGTTAATTAAAGCAGCAGAGGGTTGAGCCGGTATAAACGTTTGTTGGGCGACGGAAGACTGAAGGAAAGGAGGCGGTCCGGGAGGGAAAGGTGTCACGTAGTGCGACTGTGTTTGAAGGAGAGGAGGATTGGGTACAGAAATTTGTTGGGAAATAGGCTGAAGAGGTGCGGGAGTTACGTGTTCTATGGGAACCGAATTTGTATGAGATAGAACTACCGCTGAAGCCTGTTGAGAACGTTGATGTGTGAACTCTATAAAAAATTGGCAAGGTTTTAGCCAAGCGCTTTGAAGCAATTAAACTTTATTTTACGTAACCCTTATTGTAAGAAAAAATAAAACTTTATGATAGTATCGAGAAAGCACATATTAATATGGAAAGATCAAAATGAACAAAAATCAAGGACAAAAACCATTCAGATTCATCATAAATTTTTAAAATTTAAACACTAAGATAACTAATAGTTTGTAATTTGACAGCCATAGACATGATACTACTGCACTGTTTTGTTACAATAAAGCGTGCTCTAAAACAAAGTTTAATTTATCATTAAAATATAAAGACTGAAGGCAATAAACAAATCAACTTGCAGTTAATGGTTTAGTTTAATCAGTTTACCGTTTGGGTAAAAATTGGGCGAAGACGACGTTTCAGGCAATGACCTTTGTCTCAAGGAACTATATCTTTTTGATCCTTTCTGTTCACTTTGCAAACGTGGTGGCTTATTGATTTGTCTATTTGATTTAATATTTTTACTGTTACTGTTTCCTCCATCGTTTATATTCATTCTGCTCAAAAGATTCGCGCTAGCTTCCACATCGTCAGAAGCACTTCTGTTGCTGAAACTTTGCGAACGAACCACTTGTCGATCGACCGTTTTGGGTAAGATCTTTTGCTCTGATTTAACGCTGCGATATTGACGAGACCTAGTGAATCCTTTATAATCAGAATCTTCAATTTTTTTTTGAGATCCTTGCCCAGACGAGTAATCCCGTTCGGAAATTTGTTGATGATTGTTTTTATTTTGATTAAATTGTTTTTTAGAAATCGTTTTCTCAGACGATTTTAGAAAAGTATTATTATTCGAGAGATTCGGATTTACCTTCGTTTCTTCTTTACTTCTGTAATCAAATTATTAATACATTTATTATCTATAAAGTGTAAAATTGTTACAACTTACAAGATTGAAATTTCAGTAGCTTCTGTTGAATTTAGGATTTTCAATTCCTGTTCACTAGCATTTTTATTAATTGGAACAAAGTCAGATAATTGTTTCTTTCGATGACTTGGCTTTTTTGGTGTTTTCTTTTCAGGTCTTGAAAGCTTATATGCATCTTCATCTTCCCAGTTTCGAGTATATTTACTAGGACCACGTCTAACATATCATATAAAATTAATATTTAACTAAGAATTCAATATCAGAATATACCCATATCTTCTTCTTCTTCTTGCTTTAGGTGGACCATCTTCATTTCTTATATCATACCCATAAACAGCAATTAATTCTGACTTGGATTTAGGTGCTTGTTCAGTATCGTTGTATTTGTCATGGCTCCAGTGATCTTTCTTATCAATCCACATGGTCTTCCTTCCTACTTTTTCACCTTTTTCTGTATTATTTTCAGGTTCTCTAAAGAATTTTTTTTTTTAATTTTAATAAACTAAAAACCAACACGAGCACTCTTCAGTTACTAACTATAAGCTATACATTGCAACTTATGGAATTATTATTTGGAGAGAAGCTTGTAATATAATCATCAGTACCTAATTTCTTTACAAAATAGGATTTATTTAGAAAATAATTTTTTTTTAATTAGGACAAACTTATAAAAAATAAAACAGATAAAAGAAATTTCTATAATAGAATCAATTGTAGTCTATTATAGCTTTTTGTAGCAAAGCATTACACATCTAGGGCAGTAAAGCAAAAATGTCCAAGATCACCTCAGGTAGTAATACATATTCGACCTGATCATTCTTTACTTTAGTTCACAGCGGATATACAACTTTATTTGTGACTAAAAAGTGGTATTTAAAAAAACTTACTCAGCTTCCACTGTTCTATCATCGTGTTCATAAAATGTACCCTTTTTAGGGATATATTGTGGATTTTTCTTATCCTCATCGTCATCTACTCTGTCAAATGGTGTACCTTCCTGACCATCCCCCTCTTCTCTCTCAAATTCCACACCATCGTCACTATCAACGGATGTACAATTTGAACAGGAAGTCTTAGAATTGTTATCATTCTCGCATTCTTCAGTTTCTTTTACTTCGGAATCTGGAGTTTCGTCCACAAGATTTCCTTTATCCTAAAATGAAGAAGTAATCCACAACAAAAAATGATACCAATGTTTAATAAATATAGTTCATACCTCAAGTTCTTCAAGATTAACATTTTCTGTGCTCATCTCAGTACAACTCTTTTAATATTAAAACTTAAATTTATTAATTAACCAGCTGCACATCTATAAAATACGGTTTTCATAAATGTACATTTAACCTCTAACTTTAATCTATGCTCTAATTAATTAAACAGATAGCCATAGATAATATTTATTTTTAATGTAACTATCTGTCGATGGTGGTGCCACTGTTTAACGAAAGAGATAACTAAAATTTACTTTTCACCAGTGGCGTAGCAAACGACAATATTAAAGGATTTGATCGTAAGCTTCACTTAATCTTAAGTAAAAAAATTGAATAATTTTTCTAAAAACAAGTACAATACACCTTTTAAATAACTCTAATATCATAGTTAAATTTCGGATTTTTATTGAAAACAAACTATCGTAACTTTGTTTTTCTTTATTTGTGAGGGGCCCAACAACCTGCCTGAATATAAGATAAAGCCAAATAATTAAAGTTAGCAGCAATAATCAATCAACGAGTTTTCTTCGTTAAATTAATTATTTTGTTTCTACCTTGTAATATAAATAGAAAACTAATGGTGAAAGTAGTACTATGCTTTAGCTTTGCTTTAAAATAGAAATACAGAAGATTTGTAGCATACTTCATTAATTTAAAGTGAAACGGTTTAAGGCACCAGTGAACACATTCTTATTGGTTTAGTCGAAAAAACAGAGATAGGCAGATAAAGATTGCTTTTAGCCCCTTCTAAGCTAGAAAAAAAGCGATTCTCAAGCTGAACGGTTCATTTTTATAACAAGAAAATAACTGTAACAATAAGCATAGGACTGTTAATATTTTTTTGGGGGGTTCTCTATTCTTAAGTACACGGGATACCGCCAAACTGCAATAGTTCCAAGAATTAATATATTCAAAATGTAAAGTGGTATCGCATACACAGGCACTTTATGTAAAAAGCCATTTGATGTATAAACTACTTTTCGATTATGTGAGATTTTTTCGATTATTTATTTAATAAAATATTAGCGCCTTCGGTAAAAAAGTACATGTTGTACATTATTAAAAAAGTAATCAATTCAGCTTCAGAATGTTTTTTCAAACTCAGAATGGAACAAAACGATCCTTATCAGTCCAGGATTTTTACATGAGTAAAACAGAGAAAATAATGAAAGCCAAGAACTCGATGTTTTTTAAAAAAGGAAAGTAATATTATCTTCAATATTTTGGAGTTTTTTTCCTAATGTTTTTAACATAAAAATTTACACAGAACTATCCCTGCTTTGTAATAGTATCAGCAGTAGAGTAGTAATGAGTTACCTAATTAGTGGTTGTAGTAGCAGTAATGATAATAATAAAAAAACATTTAAATTTAATGTTGACTTAAAACATAATTTTCTATTTTTAAGAAAAATAGCCGCATTTTCCAGTTCGGTTAACAGCAAATAAATTTTGAGGTACAAATATTTCTCGCACCATTACAACAAAAACTATGTATATCCTTCCATATTAATTACAACCAATCAATCATTAATTAACAAGCTACCTAGTCGCTGCTTGCGTCCGAATCGCTTTCCTCTTCTGCATTCTGCAGCCATTCGACGAAATTTTTCATTTGATCCACAAACATCATCTTACCCTTTACGTTGTAATCTTGCTTATACCATTTTAAAATTACTTGCTCTGAAATAACGTCAGTTTTATAAAACAACATTATGATCTTTTGGAAGGCTCGCATAAACGTCATGTTTGAATAACAATAGTCTTGAATCTTGAGCAACAAATTCAATTCGGAACGGGCATTTTGGGTAAATGCTGAGAATAAGTTTGTATACTGTTTCAAATGGCGAACGGCTTGGTCAGTAACTAGTTCCTTAAATCAAAATATTATTAATACAATACATACTGACAATAGACATAAAACAAGAACTTACTTCCTTTTTATTCCACTCTGGAACTGACATAACAGTAGACCATATTATGCAGACAATCTCGTGTTCTTGAATTGTTTCGCGATTGGAAAATTCCTTAATTTCTGTAATGGTATCTTTTAACGATTTTCCCTCTTGAAGACTTTCACTCAATAGTATTTGCAACTCTTTCTTTGCCTGTTGCTGATGTTGATCATTGTATAATTTCAAAATGTCTTCCAGTTCGTTTTCCATGAATGCATTACGGAAATACATTTGCGACTGTTTCGTATCAGGCACAAAGCTCATCAAGTGCGTTTCGATGTTGGCTTTTTTTATTGCAGAATAGAGAGAATTTACTCCCTTTTCTTGTCGCCACCACTTGAATATTTCTATCAGAAAATCGAGTGCCACATGTTCTTTAACCAGATGAGAATTATTTAACACCAACACCGAGTTGAACGGGATGCTGCCGTTTGAAATCCACAACGACACCATCACAGATAACTTTTTCCTCTCAGGAGGACTAAAGTACTTTACAAACAATAAAATTTTTCGAATTTCATCCTTGAAAAAAAAAACAACAAATAAATAATCATTGAACAGTCAACCTCCAATTATAATAAAGAAATGATATAACAATTAATCAAACTAGTAATTGAGTTGTCTGATACTTGATGAAAGTTTATATCCATTTAACAAGAAACAGAAGTATAAGCCTTCCAACAAAAAATTAACCCGGCAATAAGTACCAAAAATTGTTTCATCAAGGCTTTTGCCCACTGCAATCTATGCCAATTACTAATCTATTTTTGAACTAGCAGTTATGTATCTTAAATAATAAATAAATATTGCTTAATAAAGATTAATGTTTTTGAAGTTACAAGTTCAAGTTTTTGTTGTTTTAATTTTATGTTATTAGATGCCCAACTGAACCTGGCAACTAGTTTGCCTCTGAAAGATGTATTCAGGTGTAATAAATAAATGTATGCTATTGGTGGTGGTTAAAATAAAAAAAATATTAAAATAAATTAAACCTCACATTTTTTTTTATTATTCACTATAATTTCGATACACTGCAGCTATGCAGCTTTTTCAATACAATATACAATTTGTCACTTGAAAAAGTTACAGTATAGAGAAATTATAGTCGTGAATAATCAAAAAAATAATCAATAAATCAACATCATTTATTTGAAACAGGTAGCTCTTTGAATATATGATTATTTAAATTAATAATCTTAAGCATAAGCTCATAATTAAAGTATAGCAAAAGTGGTTAGATATATGGTTATAAAAAACAAAATGAAACTGTTTCATCTATCTTCATGCAGGGTTGGGTTTGATATCATACAATTCTTAATTGTAGATAATTTTTTTTTTAAATCATGAATATTTTCTGATGTAACTAAACAAGAAAAGAATAAAAGCACTACTCACTTGAAAAATTTTCTCCAAGTATTTATATCGACGCATAAGTTTTATGACGACTTGCTCCCAACTTTTCATAACTTCTAAGTTTATGTCATCTGGAACATTGAAGATGCAAACATCGGTCTTGTATGGAGGATCTCCTTCTTGAGATATTGCACCTCCAGGAACTACAAGTGTATAAGTTAAATGTGACTAACAAGAATTCAAATGACAACTTACCCAAAATCCCACCAGCAATAAGTATGTCAAACAGACATTCTCCATATCGACGGTAATCAAGTTTGTTGCCTGCACCGTCTAAATATCGTGAAATATTTTCAAAATCATTACCACATTTGTCGAGCCCAGTAATTATTGCATCCCTAAATCCAAAGGGATCATACTTCTCTTTTTCATCTATAAAAACAAAAAAATGTAGTTCTACCTACCAGAAGACATCCTCGTAATAAATAAGTAAAATATGGAATATAAAAGTATACACATATTAAAAGTCGACCACACAGATTATTTTTTATGATTTTTGGAATATACTTCAAAATCAATAAAACAAAAAAACACAGACTAATGTAATTTTTTAAATAGCACTATCTACCTACTTGTTTAAAAAAAATGAAGAATCAATATAATTTACCTCTTTTTCTGGTCTTTATACGCTGACCGGATAAAACTGGCTTCTCTACTTTTTGACTCATACAAAAATTTCTGAAACAAATTTAATTTTGGGTGAATTGGAATGACAATACAAAAAATATGAAACAGTTACCACGTTTATTCAGTATCTCGAGATATTGTTATGGAAAACATTTTTTTTTGTTTTTTTAGCTTTTTCACAGTAAGAACTTTAAAAAAAAGGAACTATATTAACATTGTAATATGGGACTAAACAAACGAAACACTTGCTTACAAATCTATTTTTCGAAGCTTTGTTTGTAATAATCAAATACATTAACTTTTTCCAATATTACGAAAGCTAGCAAAGTACCACAAAGGCAAGGCCATATTTGACTTGTACTTTTTTATTTATTACAATTATTTCAAAATCAATTCCAAACGAACATAGCCAAATACACCAAATCAAAGTCGGTTACCAAAAAAATTATAAATTTGTTTTTTTTTTAAGTTAGTTTAATACAATTATAGGTATGGCCTGCGTTGTTTGCATATATCTTCTTAAGACGACGAATTTTTGTTTCCACTATTGTAAATAAATTATGTAAAGGCAAACATAAACCCACCAACTTATTTTACATTTAAAACAAAAGAACTCTATTACAAATGGTATAACTACTGATGTAGGTTTATCATTACATTTTCCTGATTCATTTATACGTTGTACGTTTCGTGACTGATAAATAGCATGTGTTTGAAAAGACTAAAAAGCAGTCTTGTATTTTATCTTTCCGATATCTATACCTTACCAAAAAATAAAATAAATGCTTACTTACATATTGACTTTTAAAACAAGAAGCACTTTATCCTTTAAGCGTTAATATTAAAATGCAAAAACTTGAAAGATTTGTCAGTAAGAACTTACGAACTGTTAAGCTACCATTAGAAGGCAGAAACCGGAATCGATATTGAATATAAGGCGGGAATTTCAATAAACGTACCTTCTAATTTTATAAATGATCACGCAGTAATTTAGTGAAAAAAAAATAATACATATATTACTGTCCGCCGATGTCAGTTATTTTTGATTCACTTTAAAAATAACTTAATTAAAATAAAATAATTTCATTTGTTTTTAATAAAGTAANAAAGTAATTTATTTATTATAATACTTTTAATTTTATGAGTTTTAAAGTGACATCCATCATGTATCACATATACTAGTTTCGAGTTCTGTAGGCTGCAACCATAGTCCTAATTATCTTTATAGTTGCAACATGTCTATGGTTGCAACTTTTTATCTATGGTTGTAATAATGGATTTAGAAGACTATAGATAAGAGTCTAATCTTTATATGTAAGAAAATGTGAAAACCGTCGGGAAAATTTCAAAATATATTGCGATCGTTATGAATTTAAGGTCAACGTCTTGATACATACTTTTCATACGCCATTAGGAGTCCCATTATTTCCTGGGACTTTACTCATTACATGCAAAGATTAGACTCCTTATCTATAGTTTTCATATCTATGATCAGTGATTATGATTAACTATGGAGTCTGATAGTGTCTTACGGACAGCATATCTAATAAATTGTCAATTTAAATTGTAATTTTAAGATTTCAATTATTTCGAATCGAATTGATTAATTTCAGTGCTTATAATTTTTCATGAAAATGGAAGAAAATCAAATAAAACACAATGTCTCTCCCGAGTGATACCGTTAAGTGACCATGTTCAATAAAATTTATATGTACAATTCTAACCTATTCGTTATTAAATGAGGTTTTATATAGAATCACAAGTAATTAGTGTAGAAACTTTCCAATGGCGGGTAATTTTTGGCAAAGTTCACACCAGTATGAGTTTTGTTTATTTTATAAAGCTAATTTATTTATTTATTGTGAATAATTTTCAGTCAGCAGTGGCTACTGGACAAGCAAGATTTAATACGAGAAAGACAGTATGACCTCTCTGTATTATCAGAGGAAGAATATCAGAAAATATTTATCTTCTTTGCAAGTGGTATGATTTTTTATGTACTTTCACCTTTGAAAACTAAGCAATAGGTTTATTGATTAAGTTATTTTATATCTTACTTTGGTAACATAGTTTATTTCTAGTAATTCAGAGTTTAGGGGAACAGTTAAAATTAAGACAGCAAGTAATTGCTACAGCAACTGTATACTTCAAAAGATTTTATGCTAAGAACTCATTGAAATGTATTGATCCCCTTCTGTTAGCACCAACTTGTATATTTTTAGCATCAAAAGTAGAAGAATTTGGTGTTATTTCTAATTCTAGGTTGTTAACAACTTGTCAGACAGTCAGTAAGTAAATAAATCATGATATGATGTTCAGATTCTGAACATATTTTTTTCTAGTAAAAAACAAATTTGCATATGCATATAATCAAGAATTCCCATACAGAACTAATCACATATTGGAATGTGAATTTTATTTATTGGAAAATTTGGACTGTTGTTTAATTGTGTATCAACCTTATCGTCCTTTGCTGCAAATGGTTCAAGATCTGGGTCACGAAGAACAACTTTTAACTTTAGCCTGGAGAATCGTTAATGATTCACTACGTACTGATGTTTGCCTGCTTTACCCACCTTATCAAATAGCTATTGGTTGCCTGCAAATTGCTTGCGTTATTTTACAAAAGGATCATAAGTCATGGTTTGCAGAACTTAATGTAGATATTGAAAAAATACAAGAAATAGCACGGTGCATTATAAATTTATATGAATTATGGAAACAATACGACGAAAAAAAGGAGATTCAGGGGTTATTAAATAAAATGCCAAAACCAAAACCCGCTCCTCAACGGTAGAGGAGGCTACTGAAACGTCTTCACCATTTCTAGCTTCTATTTTCTTCTTTTCTGTTATTATTGAAGAAAATTTCTTTAAAAAAAAACAGTTATTTGTATTTTAGTTTTGAACAAGATTTAAAGTACGATTGTGTTTAATTGAAAAACAAAAATATACTTCAATGCAAATAAGACAAAAAGAGAAAAAGTAAGATATATATTACTTTATTGTAGATACATCTATTTTTATTTATCCATATCCACTGAAACATTTCTCGATTAAAAAACTATATTTCACAAAAAAGTCGATTTCGTTTCGTAAAACCAATAACTATAAAAGAGAAAAAAAAAAAACATGATGATTTTATTTATTTTTGTACTGAATTCAGTTCTTGTGCCGAATTCTTAACACTTGTTAACTGTTTCACTTTTTGAAGTAGAACAGTTCATGTTGATATTAACTGAAAACAAATTACAAATCATAATGCTTAATGAAATTTATACAAACAGGAAAATTAATAGGAGGACCTACCGATTTAACTGTACTTTTTATAAAATCTTTCTTGTGTGAAAGATCAAAGTTGGGATAATTCGCGTAAACCTGCTTACAAACGGTCTTCATCGTTATTTCTTCAAGATTAGCACCATCAAGTATTTCTTTTACGCACGTCTTTATTTCTTCATCCTTAAAAAAAAAAGATAAATTCAGAAACGATTTTATCTCCAGAATAAACTGACCGTCGGAGGCTGAAGACTTTTTGCTTTTTTCTTAATAAGCGGTTCGTCTTCCGATGAGCTGACATCATTGTTTTTGGCATCAGTTTCATCACCATCTTCTTCTTCTTTTGTTTGTTTTTTCATAAGAAGCTTTTTTTTGTCATTAGCTGGTCTTCCCCGCTTCAATGGCGCTCTCTTCTTTGTGCTGCTTACAATTTTTTTATTTTTCTTACGTTTTTTCGGTTCTTCCTACAAATATTGTTAGAATATTTCTATACTTTACAAATTAATATATTTTTTATTATCAAATAAATAAATATCACATACAAATCTCATAGTTGGTAGTAGAACATTTACAAAATATCGATAAAAAGAACACTAGGACAGGTTTTTCAGAATAACCACCTAGATTTAAATAACATTTTTGTTTATTAAGAAAAGATGTTTATAAAAAAAACGATTCATTTATGTCTCTTTCAGTGTTAATCCGGGAAATGTATTGATGAGTAAATTACGGTCAGGATAGGCCAATACATTATTGATTAACGTGAGCAAGTCATTGATAAATTTAAAATACAGATCCGCATTTTGAAAAGTTCTTCTTGAATAAAAAAATTTTTACTTTATTTTTTAATATTGTTCAATGAGTTTACTTACGTCACTTTCTTCCAAAGATGATTCGCTAACATCACTAACGTCTTCAGAAGAACCCCTTTTCCCTGATTTGCCTGTTCTTAAAACTTCTTCACTCTCGTCTGATGGCTGAAATTCCTCATCACTCCCACTTGAACTATCGTCCTTTAAATTTACTCTTTTTCCCTTTCCCCTTTTATTTCTGAATGAATGCCTCTCATCTGCTGAGCCTGAATCATGGGAAGAATATCCTAGAATTATTAAGGGTATTATACATATATATATATATATACATGTAAACAATTTAAATGACAGTTATATTTGTATGTACCTCTATTGCTAGCTTTGACAGCTGCAGATCTTCTTGGTCTACCTCCTCCTGGTACTTTACCAATATCCTGAGGCTCCATAAGGAAGATGATTATTCTTTCAGATACTTCATCTTTTGTACCCTTTTTTTCCAAGTCTAGCATTTCACAAATACTTTTAAGTTGTTTCAAGTCAAATTTTTGGATCCATGTCAGCTTTTTTTTATATTCTTCAGAGTCTTTTTCAAAATCAAAACCATTAAATCTTTTTATGTTCGCTTTAGTTTTGGTTGTTTTTCCTTGACATTTATAAAGCAATCTGTGTAAAACTTTAAGATCGTCATTTTTAAAACGAGAAATTGATGCGTCAATTCTTGGAATTTCTCCCAACGGTATGCCTGAACCCTCCGGAATCTCTAACTTTGAAAGCTAGAAACACAATAATTTTTTAATCCACAAAATTTGTACATTTATTAATAAGCCATACCAGTAATAACAAAAATACAATTTCAAAAAATTTTTAATGTATTTATTTCACAACAATTGCTTTCATCATATAGTGGCTTCTTCAAGTAAAAATTTTAAAAGTACAAAACATTGTTGAAGTACTAGCGAAGGATCGTGGAGTACATTTTTTGAAACTTTTGTTTTTTACCATCTGTATACTTATGTTAGCTTTACTAATTGCTAATCTACTTACTTCCTTTGAGTCATTAAATTCCTCATTAAATCGGTTTACTTTTTTTCTTTCTCTTGTACCTGACACTTCTAATGGTTGATCTAAAAGGGGAATGGATTTCTTCTCCTTATCATCTTCAATCTTATGACATGTATCCTCACTTGACTCATTTGTATCATCACCATCGGACTTGCGTTTTCGAGTCTCACTGTTTTTAGAAGGCTCTTTAACTGTAGATGCTTTTTCAGAATTTTTATCTTCTAATGTATTCAAAGCAATCTCCGTATTCCTGTTACCTGTATTTTCTTTAGATTGGACTGTAGTATCTTGTTCTATTGAACTTTTCACTTCGGATACTTTTTTGAATTCATTAGATTTACCCTGTTACAAATACAAACAAAAAACAGTAATTAAATACTACTTCCCGCCCTTTTTATTTATATGTGCATGCAGCATTATTTAATACGGCCATATTGCTAATTCACAAACAAAAACATGCAACGTAAAAATATAGTTGAACACAACAGGAACAAATAATAGTTATAATAAGAGATTTTACCTCTGCAGTTCCACCTTCGATGTTTTCCTCTTCGCCAGGCATCTTAAAACGTTAGTACAATCATAAAAAATATAGTATTTGTACAAGCAACTTTTTAAAAAAGATATTCACTGTTACTTTATTACCACTTCACCAATACGAATAGGTGTTTATATATTACTTTTTCTATTTTTTCACATATGCAATACTAACACAAAAAATATTTGGAGTACAGTAGCACTACCACGCGTCGTTTACATGCTGAGCAATGTGATTTTATTATTTATTTCGTTTATATTTTGATGTGTTTTTGTATATTTGCTTATCATTATAATTATAAAAATATGGTACTGAAATAATAAGCATACGATTATTATATTACTATAAATTATTATTATGACAAATGAAAGAACACACGGACGCCACCGACCATTGAAAACACTATACCATAGACAACACTATGCTGTAGTATACCCATCGACGTTTACTAATGACGTTTACGACGTTAATGTATGTCTATGACTATATCCATATACCGCCTATACCATAGATTAGAAATTTAGACAGATATATTTCTTTAATCTATGGTGCTATCTGCCACAATATAATTAAATAATAAAAAAAATTAATCATTATTAACATTTTATAAGACTGACATTGTTTCAAATATTATTTATAACTGTATTTGCTCTATTTTACGTTTTTCTTTAAAGGCGTTTTTATTTCTAACATTTATTATGATTTGTTCGTTTCGCAATTTTCCTCTCCTTGTTGTTTTGCGTATCTACGATTTTGTGATGATTTTGTGCCTTTGTCAGTTTATCTATGATCACCACAGATAACATTGTCATTTTGTCGCGTTGTTTTTTCTTATATACCATTGTAATTTTACCGCATGGGTGGTAATTCTACGGTACAGTAAATCTGAAGACATCCTTAAAATTTGAACCCGAAATATCTTCTTGTCGTTAGAAACAAAAAATGCCACCTAAATTTGATCCAAATGAGGTGAAATTCGGTAAGATTGTGATTGAAAACGAAATTGTTTAAGGTTATGGCTGTTCATTTTTGTTACTAGTTTATTTGCGATGCGTTGGTGGTGAAGTCGGCGCTACATCATCTTTAGCTCCAAAAATAGGTCCTTTAGGTTTGGTGAGTATCAAAATTATTTGTTAAAGCCTTCAGTTGTAATACTTGAATTGCAGTCACCTAAAAAGATTGGGGATGACATTGCCAAAGGCACAGCAGATTGGAAAGGTCTTAAAATTACAGTCCAGTTAAGAATTCAGAATCGACAGGCTCAAATTAGTGTTGTACCATCAGCTGCTTCTTTAATAATCAAAGCTCTGAAGGAACCGCCCCGAGATAGAAAAAAACAAAAAAATAGTACGGATCATTTTTATAGTGTTTAATACAATACAACTAAATATTTTACTTCTTTAGTTAAACACTCTGGAAATATAAGTCTTGATGATGTTCTTGCAATTGCCAGACAAATGAGACCAAGATCTATGGCAAGGCAACTATCTGGAACAGTGAAAGAAGTTTTAGGTACTGCACAATCTGTAGGTTGTACAGTTGATGGAAAACTGCCACATGATTTAATAGATGAAATAAATGATGGCACTGTAGAAGTTCCCGAAGAATAAATATAAATAAATACTTTGTTGTATGAGTGAGTATTTGACTTTAGTTACCTTATCCAAAATAAAAAATGAAAGAGAACACAGCACCTTCACAAATTAAGAGCTACCTAATGCTCGGTGTATTTGTTAAATTGGTGTTTATAAGTGGTTTACTGGTTACAATAATGTAATTGTGATCATGTTTGTATTTGAAGAGTAGATTTCATGTTCGTTTTTCATGTGACAGGTGAACATTATTGGTGTCAAAAATTTAAATTGCTGCATTACATTTTTAGAAATTTTTTTTACTAAAATTGAATATCTAAAACTAGTCATAATATATTTTGAAATAAAAATAACTTAACCTTAATTTGAATTAAAGTAGACAATAAGAATAATAAATTAGAAGAATATATAAGTATAAAATGATAAGGTATATATAATAATATCAATAATCCGAAATATCAATCATTATTAAACTTGTTATTTATATGTATGTGTACATATAAACGACGTTTTGTACTGAAAGTATAATTGAGAACAGCAAGTAAGACAAATGAAACTATTTTATGCACTAGAAAATTTTAGATTACAAATTCAGAACTATAACTTTTCATCTAGTCTCCTTCCTGGTCAGCTTCCTCCTCTTCTTCAAATTCGCCTTCCTCTTCAGCCGTCGCGTCTTGGTATTGTTGATATTCCGATACCAAGTCGTTCATGTTGGATTCTGCTTCAGTAAATTCCATTTCATCCATTCCTTCTCCTGTGTACCAATGCAAAAACGCTTTTCTACGAAACATTGCTGTAAACTGTTCGCTAATCCTTTTGAAAAGTTCTTGAATGCATGTTGAATTTCCTATGAAAGTCGACGACATTTTCAGACCTCTCGGAGGAATATCACACACGGCAGTCTTAACATTATTTGGAATCCACTCTACGAAATAGCTACTGTTTTTACTTTGGATGTTGAGCATTTGTTCATCAACTTCCTTCATCGACATTCTGCCTCTGAATATAGCCGCGACAGTTAAGTATCTTCCATGTCTAGGATCGCAAGCTGCCATCATATTTTTTGCGTCAAACATTTGCAAGACGAGCTCGGGAACCGTTAAGGCTCTGTATTGTTGGCTTCCTCGGGAAGTAAGTGGTGCAAATCCAGGCATAAAGAAATGTAATCGAGGAAATGGAACCATATTGACTGCTAATTTGCGCAAATCTGAATTCAATTGACCGGGAAATCGGAGACAGGTGGTTACCCCAGACATAGTTGCAGAAACCAGGTGATTCAGGTCACCATATGTGGGTGTTGTTAGTTTCAAAGTACGAAAGCAAATATCATATAAAGCCTCGTTATCAATACAATACGTTTCATCCGTATTTTCTACCAGTTGATGTACAGACAAAGTGGCATTATACGGTTCGACAACAGTGTCGGACACTTTGGGCGAGGGTACGACCGAAAACGTGTTCATTATCCTGTCTGGATACTCCTCTCGTATTTTTGAAATTAATAACGTACCCAATCCGGATCCAGTCCCTCCTCCTAACGAGTGTGTCAGCTGAAATCCTTGCATACAATCGCATCCTTCCGCTTCTTTGCGAACAACGTCTAGAACAGAATCTAGTAATTCTGCTCCTTCTGTATAATGTCCTTTGGCCCAATTGTTACCGGCTCCACTCTGACCAAACACAAAATTGTCTGGCCTAAATATTTGTCCAAAAGGTCCTGACCTAACGGAGTCCATCGTTCCAGGTTCGAGATCTACGAGTACAGCTCTAGGAACGTATTTCCCTCCTGTGGCTTCATTATAATAAACATTAATTCTTTCCAGTTGTAAATCGGAGTCTCCATGGTATGTTCCTGTCGGATCTATACCATGCTCATCCGAAATTACCTCCCAAAACTAGTTAAAAAATAAAAATTTACACCAGCCATAACTTGAAGTTAACATTAATTTTCGACTCACCTTTGCTCCTATTTGGTTTCCGCATTGTCCTGCTTGAATATGTACAATTTCTCTCATTTTATATAATTTTCGTTATAATTTTATAAAACCAAGTTTAAAAAAATACCGTGTATGTATGTTAGGCGGTTATTTAAACAACCCGTGTATCTAAGGAGAGTTTGTTTTAAATGCTTGGCCTGCTACAAAACCGCGTATTATGTTTCGAAAATTTGAAATTTACACGTCGGGAGCCTATTTTGATTGGTTTGATTTTGATCGTTTGCTAAAAAAAGAAAAATAGGAAACAAGAGAACCTACGCGAAAATGGTTGAGTAAACAAAAACTGTTTATGAACAACTAATTATTAATGTGTAATTTTTTAAAGCGATGACAATGAAATTTTATTTGATTATAAATTTGTTTGCTTTTATCACAACAAGCTTGTCCAAATTAAATGTTCCACGAGTTCTTTTGCCACTTTTTAAAGAGCTTCCGATTACCTTCACTTTGGAATCTACCGACGGAGATTGTTATCGATGGTAGGTTTTTTGTTATTGAAGGTATTATTTTAATCCAATAGTTAAATGTATTGTTATTTTAAGGTGGGTTGCAGAAGAAGACATAGTAGTTATTGAACCTTTCGATTTCGTCAAAGAATTACAATGTTGGAGAAAAGCTATTGTGAAAACGTCACCAAATTGCGCAACTAGAAGTGTAGCTGCCGTTTTGGCCGAAGATATCCGTTCTAAGCAAGTGGTTCGATGTGATGTTATTGTAGATACAATAAGTTCTCTGTCTATCTCAACTACAACGAAGGAGCTTCTTTTAGAGGATGCACCTGAAGCGTTTGAAGTCAGAGCTTCTGATAGTCAAGGTGCTAACGTGAATGAAAAGAATATGATTTTGTGTTCAAATTTTCATTCTTAATTTTAACTGCTTCATAGGAAATTGTTTTACAACTTTGGAAGGAATTCTCTTTGAGTGGACGGTTACTTGTTTGGGTTCGAATAAAGAGGAAATACTATTGAGATTTATTAAATTTAAAGATTCGCCATATAAAACAACTCCTTCAATCACAAAAATGGAGGAGCAGAATCATAGAGGATGTATAGTACTAATGGAAGGAATAAAAACTGGATCTGCTAAAGTAAGTGGCTCGTGCCTCATGAAACCTTGTGAAATATAACTTTTTAGGCATTCGCCAAGTTACCTTATAAGGAGTACAGTCATATAAAATCAGCCGAAGTAACACTAACTGTGAGTGCTAATTTAATTATAGTTCCTTCTCAGGTGCACTCAATGGTTGGTGATGAAATCACTTTTACAATACTGCAGGCATGTTGTCTCAATTTCTATATTTATTTTTTAATTATTTTATTACCATCACAGAAATTTTAAGTTGCTTTTGTTGTGTAATTATTAGTTAAAACGGGGAAATAAAGAGCAGATATCTTTGCCACATACACAATACCATTTGAAAGTGGAGTCGGAAGATTTAGCAACCGCAATAGGGGGAGGTAAAATTATATAATACATATGTAGAAGCGTATGTTGTTGTGTAAATATGTGTATCTTGCAAAAGTGAAACTACTAAAATGTACCTTCCTTTCTCAATATACCTTCCTACAGGTACCATTCTTACATTACGTAAAGGAACAACTAAAGTTGTATTATATGATAGAAATGTAAATATGGATGATTCAAATGTAAAATTACCATCAGCTGAGTTAAATGTCATTGAACCACACAAGATACTCATTACGACATTTCCGCATAGAAGTTCGGCGGTTTTAATTTCTGAAAATGTTGATATAGCGATGGAAGTATATTCTAGGTCACAAAATGACAAACCGTCCTTTATTGACAATTGAAAATTAAATTATAATTGTTTTGGGTTTTCAGGGATAATTATTTAATTCATTTGGGACCAAATGTGCATGCCGTCTTAAAAGTGAACCAAATATTTCACGTTCATGAAATAACTGCGAATGGAACTTGGTTGACGGGGTGGCCAATCAAAGAAGGTAGAAGTCAAATCCATGCTCATTTTAAAGGTACTGAAGGAGCTAAAGTTAAAATCGATTCTACCGCTGATTTAGAAGTGTACCCGAGAATAATTTTGACTCCTTCTGAAGTTGTTTTTCCATGGGATCCGGAAACTCGACCCACGTAAAAAATATGCAACACAAAATCTTTTTTCCATTTTAATAAATTGCACAAAATTATTTATAGCTCTGTAATGCAATTAAAGGCTAGCGGAGGTGACGGACTTTTCCTATGGAGCAGCAGTAACCACACAGTTGGAATGGTATCTCAAACGGGTCTTGTTAGAATACACAATTACGGTTATTTTGAAGTATCCGTTTCTATGCAACGAAATCACTATAATAGACAATATACAAAGTAAATAACTTGACAAGAGCGTCGTCACCCCCTAGAAATTCGAAAACATTGAATCCAACGATACTTCATTACCCGATTTATAATTCCCGGGCAATGCGATACGTCTATTCGTGTGAATTTTGAACGTGACCACGATTCTATGTTTTTCGCGCTGTTAAAGTAAAAAATAAAATCTAATTTTAGCAACAATTTTGCCAAGTTAAACCTAACGTAACTGAACTAGTAATAGTAAACAACTTTACAAGAAACAAAATTCTGTTTTAATATTTTTATTCTTGTACATAAAATTGAATTGCATGTACAATCTTCATCCTGTACTTATCTGGCTGGTGACGCCCTTGTAACTTAATGATAAGTTGTTTCTACAACATTTAAGATTTGTGTGTTCTGTTGTTCAGATTTCATGTTGTTTTTCCATCTCGTCTTGAAATTACCGATTTCATCATGGAAACGGAAATAGGTGCGTCAGTTTACCTTCATGTGGCTTTGTACGCGGATCTACTGTCATCAAGCGAAGATGGTACTTATTCCCAAGTGCCTATTTCTCATTGTCAAGACGTAAACTTCGACGTTGAAGTGTCCAACGATAACTTTATCTACAATCGTTCCGACGTTATACAGCCGGTGGGAATATCGTGTGCTAATGTAGCTCTAGTTGGTTTAAAAAGTGGCTCTAGTAAGATCGTCGTTTCCTGTATAATAGGCGGACGCAAACTAGAAGATAACGTCACACTCATTGCTTTTAATCCGCTATCGCTAGTTTACCCAAAATGTGAAATTGTATTGGCTCTTGGATGTTTTACTGAATTGGTAAAAAAAGACAAAAATTCGATAACCGTCTTCCTTATTCTAATCTTAAACACATCAGATGTTACAAATACAAAAAACTATGGAAATAATTACACAAACTTTATTAAAACACTCGTGATCAAATCGTTTCGGCTAAATATTAATTGCTTTTTAGGTATTCTCCGGTGGTCCGTCGATATTAAAAACTCGTTCAGATTACAAACGTGAAGTGTCGGTAACGAATATTGATGTAATAAAGGCTGTAGATAAAACTAATGCCATTGATAAATTTATTATTGAAGTTACGTGCCGAAAACTTGGAGAAGCTAATGTTACCTTCACAATGGGTAATATGCCTACACTTCCTCATTGTAAATATCGTGCATATTCCAAAACTGTCACGATTGTTTGTGGGCAACCGGAAAAAATTCAACTTCGGCCAGCTTTACAAGTGAATGTTATATTTTTTGTCATTCATGTTTGTAAAAACAAAAACATCTCTTTTTAGGATGAAGATAGTAACCGTTGTCCTCTGAATGTTGATGAAAATCGGGTAATAGCATACAGTGGCAAAGATATTCACGTGGACGTGAATGTTTTTGATGCTCAAGGTAGAATTTTTTTGGACGCTTCCAGTTTACTCTTTCGCTGGGACATACGACCTAAAGATATGGCCAAAATTCACAACCAGAATGGCATTTACAAGAATGATCAAACCAAAACAGGATTAAATTATTTGGATAATAACTACCAACTCATTACGCCATTAAAAAAAAATGGAGAAATGCATCTGATTGCCCATGCCGTCGGTTATAAAAAAGAGGTGTTACGTAAAAGTAAAGCTACCTGCATCAATTGCGATTCTAATAACAGAAAGGTAGTGGGGGAGTTTTTAAAAAAAGCTGCTGCTCAGTTACTGTTAGTTGACCATGCCGTTGTCACTCCAAGCGAAATAAACATCTGTAATAATGCTATGAATAAGAAAGTTATATCAGTAATAGGTGGTTCCGGTTATTTCGAATTCAAATTGAGTGCAAAGGACGTCGCATTGATAAAATACAATAGCGTAACTCGAGAAATCGAAGTGACTCCTAAGAACGATGGAAACACTGAGATAATGGTAACAGATCTTTGTTTGCCTTCGCAATCGCCCATCGTAAACGTTAGAGTTGTCTCCATAGCCATCATAAGGGTTGATATGTCAGAAAAGGTACAGATTGGCAGATGCATTCCGTGTACGGTTAGATTTTATGACGAGACGGATAACTTGCTCTCCCTTAATGATACAGCAGCGATTAATATTGCGATTAATTTGAGCAGGGATATCGTAAAAGTAAAACGACTAGTAATAAAAAATCAAGGAAACGCCCGAAATTCTGGAGAAGCACATTTTATCGTTACAGGTTTCTAATTGATTATTTAAGATTAAATAATAATTTTAATCTTTCTCCGAATGATTAAGGTTTAGAACTCGGATCGGCGAATTTAGCATTTTCCATTAAAAGTGGAGCAAAAGATATAAAAAGTGCGCCAATTGAATTAATGGTATTTCCGCCTCTTAGAATATCACCCAGAAACGCCACCCTTCTTATAGGTTCCACATTTCAGTTTACCTCTAACGGTGGGCCTTTTCCTGATTGTACTATCGAATATAAAATCGATAAACCTCAGATCGCTTGTATGTATATTACTATTTCCTTTAACTACTTGAGAAATTGCACTTGACGTTTCTATTATAAATTCCATTTAATTAGATGTAAACGAATTTGGAGTGGCAAAAGGATTAAAATATGGTATTGCTTCTGTTAGTGCAAGAGCAATCGGAATAAACCCGTCCACCCGCCAAAAGGTTGTATATTCTGAGGTGAGTTTAATATGTACAACACACCTATAAGTTTGCTACTAAAAGAGATGTTACTTTGCTCAAGGATAAAATAATGGTTGAAATAATATCATTAACTGGATTGAAAATAGCTGCTCCACTAACTCGTTTTATATGTGGTTCGACGGTCCCTGTGTGGATCACGGGAGTGCCAGAGAAAATTTCTGCATCAATATTGGCCAACGTAGAGCCGTCGATTCGTTTCGAGTGGGCCGTCGATGATTCCGATATTGTAAAAATTGTCGGAATATTCGAACATCTCGGTATGTGAATACCTAATTATTATTTATACGTTATTAATGTTTAATAAGCTGTTAACTAGTTTCTCTAATTCTAAAAATGAATAATTATTACAGGAATTGTATACGGACAAGAAGATAATATTGCTGTAAGACTGAAAGGTCTAAAAGCGGGAAAAACAATTTTGCGATTGACTGCAGTTGTGAGTGGGTCGGTTTTAAATAAATCAAAACAACAGAGCGTCACGCTGAAGACGCACCTGCATATTGATGTGTTTGAAAAGTTAAGTTTAAATATACCAAACGATGTTAACGGAAAAGAAATATTAATGGCTCCTTTCTCGTCCATTTTACTTCACACTAATATGGACGATATACTCAATATTAAATACAGGTTAATTAATTTAATAACGCAGTGTATAATGCTTCCCAAATTTATTTTGAATTTAGCGTGTCGAATGGTAGAGACCCTCTCACGGAAACTACAGATAAATTAGACGGTGCATCTAAAACCATTATAAAGGTGTCATCTAGTGGAGTAATAGAATCATTTGGGAATACTGGAATAGCCATGGTCGTCATTGAAGCAACTGATCAAGAATATTTAACACAGCAGATGACTTTAGTAGTAGAGGTCCAGACTGCTTACATAAAAAATTACGTTAAAAATTAAAACCTTAACGTTATGTACTTAGGTGAAATCTATTCATTACATGATGCTTAAGGCAGATGCGAAATGGAAAGTGAAACATAGCAAAATGTTAAGCAGTATACCGTTAGGATCTGAATTTATATTACGGACGCATTATTATGACAGCACAGGTTCTAAATTCACCTGTGGAAATTTACAACTCCATGTTCGTAATTCTAGACTAGATTTCGTAAAAGTATCACCGACCTGCTGTAACGATTCTATGTTAGTTTCGACAAGAAGAAAGGGAAATTCGGTTGTTAAGGTTTGGGGCGAAGGGTACCGAAGAACCGCCGACTATATTAAATTGAACGTTAAACAAGCAATAACACCGACACTGGTATTATATATATATATATAACAAATTAAAGTTATTTTTAAAAATAGTAACCAAAATAACCTTTGTCTTTCATAGGACACGTTAACTATTGGCGACATTGTCTGTCTTCAGACTCCTTTAGAACCAAATAAAGGCGATGCAGTGGCGAGATGGAGTGTCAGTAACAAATGTTTACAACTTTTAGACAATAGTAAGGGTATAATACGCGTGGTGACCGCTGCTGCCACGGAAGTTTATTTAACACACGATTTACATCAAGGATCTCCCATTAAAATAGCGATTGAACCACCTAACACAATTCGTACATTAGAAGATACAAAAAAACATGTTACCAACACACCCCTACGAAAGCCATATAGTATTCCTTTATTATTTGGCATTGTAAATCAGCCTGAACGAATTAAAAACACAGTGAGTGGAACTATTAAATATAAACTTTATCTGTTCACTTTTTAATGTATTTTTTTAGCACGATTTGCTCTTTTGTTACAGTTTATGGGCTGGGACTGTAGAAACGATCTCGTACCCTTACTCACAACTTATCCGCATAAGTGTTATCTAAAATTTACAAACGAAAACATTACTGAAAGCGTATACAATGTATTGAAAACTCATCCTAGCTTCGATTCAGATTCAGGTTTAATGTTTCAAATTTCCTTTGGCTATTCATAATAAACATGTAATGTAATAAACATACGTTTTAAATTTCGAATTTTTAAGGTCAATATTTGTGTACTATAATACCTTCAACGTTAAATACTGAAGAAATAAGCATACTCGCCACTAATTTAATTGTTTGGGTAGAGGTGCCCGAGGCACATTTAAAATCAAACCCGATCGAATTACGCTTCTTTCCTGGAATTTTTTTAAACAACGAATTGCTGATAAAGGACAAATATTTCGCTTTCCTTACTATAACCGGATTGCGAGAGGTCTTGGAATATGTTAAGGTAATGATATTAAACTGATAAAAATAAGTAAAGCATATTTGGGTTTAATGTTTTAGGTGGAAGCAAACGATCCTTCAGTTCTTTGTGTTCCCCCTACGTATTATCCGAACGATAATAAGCTGATTTTAAAAATTGAGCTTGTGGACTATCATTGGAAACTTGAAGAACTCGAAGAACCGATGATTTTAAAAGTTATTTCACCTCGAACATCACAACAAATGAAGGTATACTAAAAAAAATTGTTTTTATACAAAATTTAGCATTATTTTGTATTAACTATTAGGTGATTGTCAAAGTAGACAGATCCATTATGCCAATCTGTGGAACGACTGCTCCAGGACTGCTGACGAATTTGTTTGGAAGTAGTGTGGGATTTGTATGCATTTCATCTATAATGGTTTTCTTGATTTCTTTTTATGGTAAATAAATTTACCATTTCTTTTTCATGTTGGTTCATATCTACATATTTTATTTTAGTTTACTCAAATCACATGCAACCAGTCGTCAACGTGAATCTCTCAAGAAGATCACTTTTAACAGAAAGTGAGTGTAATGATCGTATTAAAATTAACGTTAAAAAAGGGCTTATGTGTTATAGTTTTAACAGTTAGACTGATACGTTTTTTCTTTTTCCATTTAATTTAACTAGAGCGTCCATCGATTATTTCAAAAGAAAGTGCAGTATCAGGAGAACCAGCTTCGTTCAAAAGATCTACGACGTTTCCTTTGAATATTCCTGCTAGATATTCTAATAAAATAACTTGTTCGCCTGGATACACGTCCATTTCTAGACAAAGTAATCTACTAGATACTGAAATGTACGGCGAAACTACCAATTCGTTTTCTTCTGGCTCGGGAAGAACAAAACGCTTTATATAAATTGTGTTACAAATTTTTTAAACGGCATATACAACTGCAAAACAGGTGAGATTTATATTTATTTTTAAAAGTACTTCTCATTTTCGTTATAAATTGATATTGAAATGTAACTTATTTAAAAGAAATTTTTAAGTTAAATGTATAACAGTAATGTTATTACAGTATATTATCTATCTGTTAATACAACTGTAAAAGGGTGCAATATTGATCTTTCTAACATCCTATGAAAATAAAGACCTTCAATTTCAGTAATAGAAAACTTTAATTATTTCGTTCTCTCTAATTAATAGATTTATTAACTTATTCATCAATTAAATCTGTTGGTTTAAAATGATTCAATAAATTAATCGTCCATTCTTCTTCAACGCCTTTTGTAAACTCCCTAACAAAGCGGTAATTACAAATTAATATTCTAGTTCGATACTCTGGCAACATTCCCATATTTAGAGGAGGTTCTTCTCCTCTCGCTTTCATTACTGAAAGGCCCCGCAAAGCATGATAAACCATCGTAATTTCTACAAATCTTCGGTTATTGGAATCATCGGAAAATATTATTCCTATCTAAAAATAAGACATATGTTTATATATTGTAAATAAAAGCCCCATTCATTTTTACTAAAGGTAATGTATTATGCTTTTATCTCATAATAATCTTGTATATGCATATTATCAATATTAAATCAGTTAAATAAACACCTTACAACCTTTAATTGCCTTGAACTTTATTTTATATTATCCAAACTAAGGGGTGAAATGGAGGATATAGGAAATTTCTTCTGAATAATTAGTTAACTGGGTACAGATAAAAAGTACAGGAAATCACAAGAAAAAAAAATAATGCAAGTTACCTGATAAGGAAAAGAAAAATATATATCGTCCGACTTAATAGACAGTTCTTCTCTTTGAGCTAATGACATCGTGGAGATAGATTTTTGAAGATTTGTCAATACATCATTTGTTACCAATCCTTTTAAAGACGTATAATCTCCTTCTGCAAGCTTTGATGATACTATCTATAATTTAAGCTTGTATGAATATGACAGTTGATATTTAATATTGCAGATACCTCTACTGCCTGTTTCGACCCCCTAACAAATTCAGAAAGGGTGAATTCTCTATCAAAATAAGGTTTAATAATTAGTGTTGCAAAAATAAAATTGCGTATAGACTTGAAAAACGAAGGCCACACTATTTCTGGGAAATTCATTAAAGTAGCCATTTTCTTTGTCGGGGGGCCACTACTATCGCCGCTACAAAATCGTTTGCAGTTGTTACCAGGCAATTTCAAAATATATGAATTTGAGGTTACATTGTGATAATTATAAACAAACATAGTTTTGTTCGCACTACTGCTATTGAAAAAAATAATCCTTTGAAATAAACAATTTCGAAAATTATTCGTAAAACTGTTTCGTTTTAAAAGAAAATTCATTTTAAAAATAATTATTTCTCATTTATTATGCTGGGCTTCAAATTTAAAGTAAACATAACCTTATTATCTATAATCGATGTTAATCGTTTGGACATAAATTATTTATTATTTAAATTATTACAAATTATTTGTAGAATAGTTTAAAAAAAAATTGATTAATTTGGGCCCTTAACTAATAAACAAACTAATTAAATTTATATTTTACTATCTACAGCTGTTTGAGATATTGTAGTTATATAACCCACCAAACGTAGACGGAAGGATGTTAACATAATTAGTGATTTGCAGTTTTGACTAATCTACAGAATTNACCGGGTCGATATGGCCACTAACAAATACATCTTGTTGCGTGATCGGATCTTGATGATCGAATATCCATACTTGATTATTTTTGTTATTAAACCTAACGTGTTTCTGTTGTTTTGGTAAAACATTACCGCCTTCGTCGATTTTTGGTTCCGCTAATACATAATTTAAAAAAGAACCACGAGAGCAAAATTATATAAATATAAATCTATTTATAAATCGTAATGTGGGAATAATACTTACAAAAATTAAATTAAGCGACTAAATTGTTATTAAAATAATATAAAAATGTGTATATAATAGAAATACAATTTGTATGTATCCATGTTTGTATGGGAATAATAAGCAGTGCTTCTGCTAGTTAATCTATTGAAATCCTTTACTTTCTCAAATTAATGTTGGAATGTACTTATACGCTAAAAGAAAAATATGTTTCGAAATGTTTTTGAAAGGAGTAACAAAAAAATGCTTTTTCCATGAAATTACTGTAAATAAGCAGATAAGATAAATGTCAATATTGGTTGTGTGTGAAGTTATACACTTATATAGATACACAATTAATGAGAATAGTTTGTTTTTAAATATTAAAATATCATTAACAAATAACGGCACATATACGGATTTTTTAAAGTAACTTGTAACAACGCATATTCTCTTTTTTATCTCGAACTAGAAGCTTCTCTAATGGGTGCACATGTACACAATTTTAGAAAACAAAAAAAGAATATAGGTACATATAACCAGTCAATAAATAGAAATAATTAATTTGTTTACTTATACATTATTGCTGTTGCTGAGCGGTTTGCTGTTGGATTTCGATCTTTTCAACAGTCATATCTGGATTCATTGCAGTCGCTTCTTGGATAGCTTCGGCTAAAGCACGATCGTGATCAATTGGATCCCCATCCGACTGAATCGTTATTTTCTGCTCTACTCGTGTCTCAACTACACCATCTCGTTCTGTTTTATACTGAAATTTTTATATATAAATAGTTTGTTTTGGCAAATAAACACATACGTTTACCATTATATTATATTAATAATAACAAAATTTTCTTTTTACATACTGTTATAGTTTCGACGGTCCGAGTCTTCGAGCTAATCGTCTGGGAACTAACTATTTCGCCGGTGGCTTGATAATTTCCATCTTCCGATTCCAAATGGACTTTTCTGGTTTCTGTAGCAACAACAGGTACTTGTGTTGTGGCAATGGGTGTCGTTCCTGATTCACCACTGTAAACTACTGTTTCGGTGTGCACAATTCCTTCCGGAACTTCTCCCTACAAAAATGTATTTAAGTGTTATGTTTTGTTATCTTCTGTTACTAACTGTATTATCAACACATTTGACCTTACTTATTTTTATTATTTTTGCCTACCTGTAAGTCACTAGTATAATCGTGACGACCTGATGGTTCAGGTGGATCAATAGGTGTACCGGAATCATCGGAACTTGTCGAGCATATGCTATCTCTTCGTGTCCGCTATGATTATTATTAAAAAAAGCCATGCCATGTTAGCAAAAACAACAATCGTTCGTACATTTCATATTTTAATATTGGAGAGATAACATAATAATAGCTCAAGCAAATTTATTGTTAATGTATGCATACGAAAGGAGCAATTTTTACGGGACTTCCGAACATACGAAAGGAATTAACGACAAAACGTTCCGTGTTTTGTTATAATGTTTCTTCCATAACGTTAACAATAAAATAAAACTTAAGCTATTACCAACGCATGTACATGACGCATTTTTTATAACAGCAAAAATAAAAAAACAATAACCTGATCCCCGCTAACAACGGTACTAGTAGTTTTTACTTCTTGAGTAACCGTTCTTTGCTCTTGTCTGGTAGCGCTTGAAGTCATCGAATGAGCAACAGTTTTTTCCTGCAGTTGTTGCGTACGAGCATTTGTTTCGAGATCTTCGTGTGTAGTTGCTGTTCGAGTTGTAACGGCTCGCGCGGTTACAAACGGTGAGTTGCTTTCGTCAGTTATAACATCGGCCTTAAGAAAAAAAAAAAAAAAACAACAAAATAAATAATAAAAAAAGCCAACTTAACATTGCATGCAAAAGAGCATTTATCTTTTTGTACGATTATACATATAAATACATGTATGAAATAACTAATATATTATATTACACTTACCTTATTCAAATGGGTGGAAACCGTCACTTCCCCAGTTCTGGCATCCTCTACCCGCTCTTGGATATTTTGTGTAACACCACCTTTATCCTTCGTTATGATCTGCTTGGTCGTTGTTTTAACAATTACAGGCATGGCAGGGTGCTTCTTGAATTGCGCCTTGTCCATATTGACGATATCGCCTAAAATTTCGGTCGAATAATCGTTTAAATCATCTTCACTCGATTCTTCATCGGATGCGGTGGATTCTTTAATTCGGTTGAACGGACTGTGTCTTGTTTTAACTTTTGGTTCGGTAGTGGTTTCGAAATGTGAAGGATCGATTTGTGCGTAATTCAATATTAATTCCCCAGTAATGGGATTCTTCCTGGCAGTTTCAGGATCGATATTACCAGTGGCAGGATCAATATGTCCCCATTCAGTATGTATTTTACCAGTTTTATCGTCAATTTCTCCAGATAACGTCATAATTTGAGTTACTTTTGTTTTTGAATTCGTAATTAATAGATCATTAGGATCGATTTGAACTAGTTTGCCAGATTTAGGATCGATCATGCTGTACATATAAACCGTATGTTTGAGAATGCCGGTTATTTTACCCGTTTTTTCATCAATATCACACTCGTTGGGTTGTAATTCTTTTATTTGGTCTTCTGTTGTTGGAGATACCACGTAAATTTTTAAAATGACAAATTTGCCAGTATTCTGTTCTTTTTTCGAATATTTCAAATAAATATTTCCCGTTTCTGGATGGACTTGAGAAGATGAATACAAAGGTGATCCAGATTCATCAACTTCTCCAGTTTTAGAATAAATTTCGTTGGTTTCTGGATCAATTAAAATATTGTTCGAGTCAATTTTCATAGAACCAGAAACATATCCAGACTTTGGATCATTATATCCATATAAGGTTGTTATATAGCCGCTGACCGGGTCGATATGGCCACTAACAAATACATCTTGTTGCGTGATCGGATCTTGATGATCGAATATCCATACTTGATTATTTTTGTTATTAAACCTAACGTGTTTCTGTTGTTTTGGTAAAACATTACCGCCTTCGTCGATTTTTGGTTCCGCTATAAGAACAGACACCACTCTGCCTGTATTGGGATCTAATTTGCCAGTTTTTTTATTCACTATACCTCTGAACAGAATCTGGCCAGTTATTGGGTCAATTGTACCTTGTTTTACTTCGGGTTTTCCAGTTTTATAGTCGGTGTAGCATAGAGTCCCTTTCACTGGATCGATCTGCCCTAATTTAGTATCGATTTTATTGTTATCTGGATTATACATGCCATATGAAATTTCAGGCACAGCATTTTTCGTTTCGACGATATTTTTTTTATTATCTATTTTACCAAAAAACGATGTTATTTGAACCTGAGGCACTACAGGTTCTCTTACTTGAATGATTTGAATTAGATTCGGGTCAATTTTACCAGATTTCAGATCTACAACGCCGGTGACAATTGCATTACCCATATCATCGAAAGAGATCGGTCTGACTTCCAATTTATTCGTCTTTAGGTCTTTCGTTGTCATTATCGACGACCTCAAATTTATTTTACCAAATTTACTGTTGATTTCCTCAGTTACGTTATTCTTCAGTGCCATTACAGTTTCTACCTGAGCGGTATTAAGATCGTACGATTTTTTAGAAGTATCCATTTTACAAGTAATAACAGTTATTTCGACGATTGAATCGATGGGACCTCCAATAGTAATAATTTTTTCTAAAGAATCATCGCCTTTGACACTATTGGGATCAACAAGACTATTTTTAATTATAACCTGTCCGTTGTTCTCGTTTATTAATACAGGTTTTGCTTCAACTTTGCCTGATTTTGGATCATTTATGAGCAACTTTTTACTTTTAATATCTATCAGCCCATACTTTGATTGTATTAAACCAGTAGAGGTGTCCAATGAAGCAGTTGATTGTTCGACTTGACTTTTTTCCACGTCTAACTTTCCGGTCTTAGGTTCAGTTTTAGTTGTAACTGCGGTAATTTTAATGATCCGCTTTTTAGGTATCAAAACTTTCGACCCAGATACATCCTGGGCATGTTTAAGCCCGGCAATTGAAAAAATGTATCCCAAACTGGGATTTATTTTGCCTGTTTTGGGATCGACGACTTTATCACAAGATATTGTTAATTGATTTGTTAAAGAATCTATTTTTCCTTGTAACACTTGCAACTGACCTGTTGAAGGATCTATTGTCGTAAGGGACGCTTTTTTTAAATCAATCACGCCATATTTAGTATCGATTAAATTAGTTTGAGAGTCATAAGTACCTGATATATGATCGACCGTTCCACTTTCTATATCTACGACTCCCGTGTTCAGGTCTCTCTTTGATATAATGACCATTATTTTTACAGATGGATTATTAGAAGTACTTATTAGATCGGTTTTGGATAAATTCGACGGGGACGATATGTGCTGTTTTAATGCCAGTTTTTTTTCTGCATTATGTTGATTTTCCAATATTTCAGCTTTAATTAAATCCATTGAGACATCAGATATTTTTTGTAAGATCGGCAATTCCGGAAGCTTTTGGATATCTTCTGTTTTAATTACGTGCTTTATTTCCGGTGGCTTTGAAATGGGCTTTTCTACTGGTTCCATTTCACTACTATCGCTATCGCCGTCATGTACGTCAGGTTCTGTAATTTCAACTGCAATCGATCTCCCCAAGTGTGGGTCGATTTTGCCAGTTTTAGGGTTGATACACCCACCTTTAAAGACAAGAGCTCCCGAATGAGAATCTACAAAGCCATGTTTAACTTCCAACTTTTTCGTTTTCAGATCCATTACCGACAAACTTTCGGCAATAGGATCCAAAATACCGTACTTTGTGAATATTTTACTTCTTTCCGGATCATAAAGTGCAACAGTAGTTTCTAAATTTGAACTTGCCGATTCAATGGTGTTTTTCTTAGAATCTACCTTCCCCAAAATGGATGAGATTTGTACTTCTGAATCGAGTTCCTGTTCGTCTATTTTGATGATTCGAAGCAGATTTGGGTTGGATCTGTCAAAAACGGTAACATTCCCATTATAGTCTTTATCTATTTCGATTGGATTCTTAAGATATGTATTAGTTGTGGGATCTTTGGTAGAAATGGTTTTGTTAGCAAAATCAATCGTTCCATGTTTGGTGATAAGTACACCACGTCCAAGTTCAACTTTGCCGTAACTTACCTCCGTATGGACTCTTTGACCATCAAAAGTGTCAGTTTGCGGATTTTTATTTGTCGTTGACGTCGTTACCGTAAGTATAGGATCCTTGCTACCAATTACTTTTATAATTTGAGCTAAATTTTTATCTACCTTTCCTGTTTTTGAATCCGTGTAAGTTTTTCGAATAATTTCTCCCGTTTTCTCATCAAATTCGATTGGGTATTTAACAAACTTATTTGATCCAGACGTCACAGTTAAGAATTCTTTTTTTTTTACATCGATCTGACCGTACTTAGTTTCGATAATGTCATTTAAAGGATCAAAAATTGCAATCAGTGTTTCTAAAGTACTCTTAGATCTATCAAGTTTATCTGTTTTAGGATCTTTCTTAACAGTAATTACTGACAGTTTAATAATTCTCTTTTTGGGAACAACATGCGGTGCCATTGGACCTAGCAGTACACTTTTTTCTTGCCTATTCTCCTTTTCATCTACGACAGTTACAATTCCGCCCATATCGTTGGATTTATTACCGATTTTTGGATTTAACAAACGGCCTACTGGAATATGAATTTGATCGGTTTGTGGAATACGAGAAGCATTCACGGTTTCTCTCTGACCACTAACTGGATCGATTACAGTGGCCGATTGTTTGTCGAAATTAAATATGCCATATTTCGTTTCAATATTACCGTTAGGGTGCAGTATACCATCGCATTTAACAGCTGTTTCGTTTTCATGACCGTATTTAGGATCTTTGATGTATGTAACAATAAGTACTTTTACCTTTTTCAATACCGATTTTGTCGCTTTATTCTGAAATTGATAATGAGGTAGTAATTGTTGCTGCAAAGTTCGAATAGAGGAATCAGCAATTGGTTGTTTTAAATCGGTTTTCAAAATTCTACCGAAATTAGAATCGATTCTACCCGACTTCGGATTTATAAGTTCTTTGAACAGAATTTCGTCCGTGTTTGGAATGTGTTGACCATGTCTATTTTCTGATTTAAGCGACTTGGGCTCAATAAATGTCAATGTTTCGGAAAGTGGATCGTATATACCGTACTTGGTGTATATCTTACAGTTTTGAGGATCAAACACTCCCGCAGATGCATCAGTTGTAGCGTTTTTAGGGTCGAGTTTTTTCTTACTGTCAACCTTTCCAGATACTGATAAAATTTTTATTTCTGACTCTATTTCCGGACCTATCAGAATGGCTTGGCTTAAGTTGTTATCATTGATGCCAGTATGAGGATGTCTAGCACCTGAATCGATTGATACTAAATTACGGGCTCCGTCAAATCTAATAGGAACGGAAATCGTCTTAATTGTTTTAGGATCCTGATATACTAATTCCTTATTTATTATATCTATAAGTCCATATTTGGTTAAAATATTTCCATTTTGGGAATATACCAAAGCGTTTGAAATCTCCTTGAATTCATCTCTTTGGCCACTACTATTTCGAGGTGACGTTACAGATGTTATTTGCACTATGGGATCCCTGCTGTCTAGTAATGTAATAATCTGGTTTAAATTTGGATCCACTTTACCAATTTTTGGGTCACAAACGCCGCTCTTGATAATAACTTCCGCCGTGTCAGCATCAATGGTCACAGGTTCGAATAATGTCTTGTTGGTTTTTGGCTCTTTACGAATAAATTTTGAACTTTCAACATCGATTGTTCCATATTTTGTATCGATCCGTCTTGAAATTGGGTCAGAAACAGCATCGCATATTTCTGTGTATTCCGATATTTCATCGCCTTTTTTAGCCTTTGGATCTTTCTTACTGGTAACTACTTTTATTTTGATAAGTCTCTTGTTAGTTAAAATCGGTAGTAACCCTGGCAGAGCTGTTTTGTTGTCTTCAATTATTGAAATAATTTGACCTTTGTTTGCGTCCGGTTTTTCAGTTTCGGGGTTCAAAACTGCACCGGAATTAATAATGATTTGTTTAAAGGGATTAACATGCCCTTGAAGTACTTCCTTTTGATTATTTGAGAGATCGATGATTATAACAGATCCACTATACGGATCTATCATGCCGTATTTCGAATCTATTAAACCAGTTTCTGCGTTTTGATTTGCACAAGTAATATCGACAAAGCCATTTTCCACGTCTAGCTTTCCAGTTTTTGGATCTTTATCGGCTGTGACAACAAACAACTTGACAGTTCTGGTTTTGTTGTTTGCAGGCGCTGTAATTGTTGGTGTTATTATATGTGATTGTGGAATGACAACAGGTTCCTTAATATAACGTTCATTTTCCAGAAAAGATGATGCAATGTCTTTATCAGTTCCGGATTTCATCTGCGGATAAGGTCTGGGCTCGTTTTGGCAATTTTCAAGGATCCCGTTGTTGTTTAACCCTTGATAATTGTCCCTCGTGTAACCTGGCAATTGTGGAGAACCTATGGGAGGACCACCTTTCAATTTACTTTCGTTCGTTTCCACTTTCTTATCGGGTTTATCTTTTGAACGAATAGACAAAAACCCAGGACTCTGAAGACAAAAAACAAATCATGCACTAATTCATGCACTACGTCTAGACATTTTCTTATCTAATAACGCTATATCTAGAATACGGTACACTTCTTTATACATAAAACAGGTAAACCAAGCCAAATTGTTTTCGGAAATACATTTATGTATATGTATGTATAAATTCAAGTATGCACATGTAAAAATTTACAAAAACGAAATATAAATGAACAGCTTACTCACATTACCAATTATATGGTATTACCTTTCTGTAAGGCATTGAATTTTACAAGTATTCTTATTTCCTTGGGCTAATTTTTACATACAAAAATAACTAGGTCACTAACCAACTTGTTTATAACATACCCAACTCACCTTTAACTGTTCATTTTTGTTCTTTTCATTTTCATTCTCCTTTTCAAACTCGTTAGGAAACCGATTAGGAAGGGACACTTCTTCATTTTTATAATTTTCTTTACCCTTTTTGCTCAGGGTACCACTAACAGGAAGCACAGAAACACCTCCAACAGGCTTCTAATAATCAACAACACTTTTTAGAAATATTACTGACAATTATTTTAAATTACAAAACAAAAATAAATGACAGTCTAAATACTAAATACAAGTAAATGCGGTATACATTTCTTCTTGCTTTTAATAAAAACTATAAATTTACCTTATTTTTGTCCTTCTCCTCTTTTTCTTTATTTGCTTTCGGGGGTCTCGATTTCAGAGCATATTCGTCCTTTTCTGGAGTATACATATGTTCAATTGGATGAGNAAATTTCATCAAAAAATATTCAAGTATGTACTTATAACAGGGACAACTCTACAATATTTTCTGTCAATTTGGTTTACCAGGGATATGTTAATATGCCTATCTAATATATTAAATAAATGTTTAGACCTTTGATGCAATCTGTACTGCTTATTCTACGTCGACACGTTTTCTTTAGTTAAATTAAATATAATAATTATGAGTGTTGTTTTAAATTTGATGTTCATCAACAATATATTTATGTCACGAATACGCAAATACACAGCATCACATGTACACATACATGCAAATTCGTTTGGAAAGTTATTCCACATACATCACAACAAAATTACTTATGTTAGGATAATTCAATACTAAAGCATTTTTCAATAAAATTATTTACAAATATTATCGTTTTTAACAGCACCGAAGTAGATAAAACATTCGGGCATTTAGTACGAAAATTCGGAATTTTTATACGTTATATCAGACTATTTTATTATTATCGTAAAATTTAATTAAAAAAATATTTTATTTGTTATATGATATAATTACAATTAACTAGTATATTTATTATAAGCTGCCCTGTTTGTATAAGCTCTCTACCACTCTAAGTGTACCTATCTAATTGTTTCTCATCATTACACTGTACACAAATAAAATTTTAATCAGTAATCTTACCTTATCAGTTGATTATAAAACAAAATGGTAAATAATTTTGTGTTCTACGGCATACAAACTCACTCAGTACGAACTGGGATGGGCCACAAACACTTTACTATGAGTTAAGCAGCTAGGCAGTGTTGGTATTTACTATTTATTAGTACATGTATTTGCCACTGCCACACCATAACAATGGATCCTACCAAACGTTCTACGACCCTATTTATTTTGTAAAAGGCGATAATCTGTCTGAGTAAAACACCACTTAATGTTTTACTTTTGCAAAATTCCAAGCAGAAAAGCAATAATAAGAAAATTCATATAATTCTTAGTAAATTTTCTTAACAATTGTGTAGAACTGTATTTTTATTTACGTTTGGCGTAGGAATCGGTTGAAATGAATAAAAAAATCATCAATCTTAGAGTGGGAAATCAAACGAAAAAATATTCAAGGTATTACGTCACTGATGAATATAATCCGTATAATAGTTGACATTCATTCTGCTTGAGGCACCGTCAGCCTTACAAAAATAACTTTTAAGTAGATGATGTTTGCATTATATACATATATTTTCCTTTTATTCGGTATAATAATATACGTAGAAGTTTCTGTTAAAGAGAAGCAATGACGTAACAGATAATTAATTTACGATTACATTGAAAAATTTTGTTAATATTTTTGTTTATTATTTTACAGCGTTACAAGTTTTATCAAATGCTTAATCAGGGCAACTTAAACATATATAAGGTCTTTTTACAGCAGGGACAGATACGGAAGTGTAAATTATAAACAGACAATCATAAATATTTATTGCAAATATGTGACTGCAGCTTTTATCTAAAATATGGATAATCTAAAATATGCCTAAAATGAGTACAGCACTATACAAGTAGTTATTCTCATGCCATCGTGAGTCCAACCCGTACATTAAAGAAATATATATTTACGACCATAGACATATATTAATGGACGTGCCTTAGCCGTATGTCGTTGTAATAATTTTTTGGCTCGAAAAGTGAGGGAGAGGCGTACGGTTTCGGACTAGTGCTATCTCTTTCATGACACACTTACGCAGAGAGAGATGGATATTATCCGAAACTTCGTTCCATCTCTTTCTTTTGTTGTATCACGATTCTGACCACTAAGGCCATAGATAATAGATCTACAAAGGGTAAGGGTAATCTACTAAGGCATGTCCATTAGTAAACGTCGATGCTTACGACAGTATATATATATCTGATCTATAGTTCAATCAATATCTCTAATCTATGGTTCAATCAATTTTTATAATCTGTGGTCCAACCAATAGAAAGAGGGTGTGTTCCGAAATATAACCCAGCATACTGGTCAGTGCTGACGACGTCATGAATCGACGCCATATTGTACTGGTGTACCACCATATTGTACTGGTGAAACAAGTGTGTCGTAACAGTATATCAAACGGGCGTGTGTGCTTCAGAGTTTGGACAATTGTTTATTGTAATAAACGTTAATAACTTTTGGAGCAAAATTGTTGTAAACGAGCACAAACACTATTCTCAATATGGCGTCAATTAGACGTCATCAGCACTGGGTATACCGGGTTATATTTCGGAACACACCCAGAATAAGAATAATAGCGGCAAGTTCCTGACAGTTTATCTATTACTCAGACTATAACTATAAGTAATCTCTGCTTATTTTAAAATGTATTTGTATTTTTTGATATAAGTAGATTCATAGCGCCCTACCCAAGACCTATCCTTTACGGAATCGTGTAAAACTGGCATCCGATATAAATAATCCACCGATTCAAACTTTACCAATAAATTGTGCGTTGTTTGCGGGCTCTAAATATATACATACTGTAATTTTGTGTCCATAAGTTCTGTTAAAAAAAAGAATAATTGATTCGGGGCAGGTGGAAATAATTACAAATAACACTAAATTTTTCAATTGTATTACGATCATCGACGTTTATAATGGACATGCCTTGTGGTACAACATAAGAAAGAGATGGAATGAAGTTTCGGACAATATCCATCTCTCTCACGATAGTGCGTAAGCGTGTCACGAAAGAGATAGCACTAGTCCGAAACCGTACGCTATCTCACTCACTTTTCGAACCAAGAAATTATTACAACGACATACGGCTAAGGCACGTCCATTAATATATGTCTATGGTTGAAACTATGGTCGACTATGATTGAAACATAGGTTAATGTTGAAATATGTCAGCAGGGACCTAAAGCAAAGGTCATCAGAGATTTCGATTACTTTAATATCGCAATTCAAAAATATTTTTATATTCATAATAATCATATATTTTACAATTTAAGATGAACAATTTAAATGGTGAAAATACAGAAAAAAAACATAAAGTTAAATGTGCAGGTAAAATTCAAGTTTTGGTTAAAACACATGATCTTTACATGAAACACTAATTCTAATTTTATTGTTTTTTTTGCCATATTTTATAAAAATCGAAATATGGTTATTGTTTTTATGTCATTAATATAACAGTTTCATTAATTTTGCATGTGAAATAATTTGTATTACAAGATTATATGTATTATTTTCTGTTTCAGGTGGTAAAGTTGACAAAAAGAAAAAGTTAAAATCGGAAACTGCAGAAATTAAAGAAAAAAATCCTAAAGCATTTACTTTTAAATCTGCTGTTAAAGCAGAACAAAGATTTAGACGTAAACAGGACATTGAAACCAAGAAGCAACATGTACCAGTTGTTGATCGAACTCCTATTGAGCCACCACCACTTTTGGTAGCAGTAGTAGGGCCTCCTAAAGTAGGAAAAACTACACTAATAGTTAATCTAGTAAAACTTTTCTCAAAAACCCCATTATCAGATATAAAAGGTCCTGTCACTTTGGTAATGGGGAAAAAACAAAGAATTACATTGATGGAATGTAAAAATGATATCAATTCAATGATAGATTTAGCTAAAGTGGCTGATTTAGTATTGGTTTTATGTGATGCAAGTTTTGGCTTTGAAATGGAATTTTTTGAATTTTTAAATATTTGTCAGGTCCATGGTATGCCAAAAATCATAGGCATTTTAACACATTTGGATATGATAAAAAACTATCAAGCATTAAAGAATACAAAAAGGATGCTTAAACACAGATTTTGGACAGAGGTTTATCCAGGTGCAAAGTTATTCTATCTGTCGGGTATAGTTCACGGTGAATACCTGAAAAATGAAATNAATAAATAATAAAAAAAGCCAACTTAACATTGCATGCAAAAGAGCATTTATCTTTTTGTACGATTATACATATAAATACATGTATGAAATAACTAATATATTATATTACACTTACCTTATTCAAATGGGTGGAAACCGTCACTTCCCCAGTTCTGGCATCCTCTACCCGCTCTTGGATATTTTGTGTAACACCACCTTTATCCTTCGTTATGATCTGCTTGGTCGTTGTTTTAACAATTACAGGCATGGCAGGGTGCTTCTTGAATTGCGCCTTGTCCATATTGACGATATCGCCTAAAATTTCGGTCGAATAATCGTTTAAATCATCTTCACTCGATTCTTCATCGGATGCGGTGGATTCTTTAATTCGGTTGAACGGACTGTGTCTTGTTTTAACTTTTGGTTCGGTAGTGGTTTCGAAATGTGAAGGATCGATTTGTGCGTAATTCAATATTAATTCCCCAGTAATGGGATTCTTCCTGGCAGTTTCAGGATCGATATTACCAGTGGCAGGATCAATATGTCCCCATTCAGTATGTATTTTACCAGTTTTATCGTCAATTTCTCCAGATAACGTCATAATTTGAGTTACTTTTGTTTTTGAATTCGTAATTAATGGATCATTAGGATCGATTTGAACTAGTTTGCCAGATTTAGGATCGATCATGCTGTACATATAAACCGTATGTTTGAGAATGCCGGTTATTTTACCCGTTTTTTCATCAATATCACACTCGTTGGGTTGTAATTCTTTTATTTGGTCTTCTGTTGTTGGAGATACCACGTAAATTTTTAAAATGACAAATTTGCCAGTATTCTGTTCTTTTTTCGAATATTTCAAATAAATATTTCCCGTTTCTGGATGGACTTGAGAAGATGAATACAAAGGTGATCCAGATTCATCAACTTCTCCAGTTTTAGAATAAATTTCGTTGGTTTCTGGATCAATTAAAATATTGTTCGAGTCAATTTTCATAGAACCAGAAACATATCCAGACTTTGGATCATTATATCCATATAAGGTTGTTATATAGCCGCTGACCGGGTCGATATGGCCACTAACAAATACATCTTGTTGCGTGATCGGATCTTGATGATCGAATATCCATACTTGATTATTTT